TTGTGAGTGTGACAAACCAACATATTGTTTGCTAATTTAGATCATTCAGATGCTTTCTCAATGCCATGTTTTGTACCACAAGATACAACAAAACCAGCAGTTACACGTACATGATATTCTTCTTTTCGTAAAGTGCCGAATTCTTTCTTTTACTGCAAAAGATATTCAACTATCTTCACTCCTATCAGCCGCCATTATTTAAATTTAAATATACGAGGTCTTTCCGAAAACTACGAAGGCGTTTCGTGTGCGTGGATGCCAAGTTCGCGCATGCTCCGTACAAAATGCCCAGCTGTTGTTGCTGGTTAGATTATATAAACTGATAAAGTAAAACCGTTCTGAATTCTTTAAAAATATCAATTTGGGAGTCAACTAGAATCTTCTGATTAAAAGAATGACAATGAAGCTCTCCAGGTACAAAAATAATCATTAAAGTTCAAATTTTGATTGTTAGCGGTTGTTTTGTTCTGTTTATAGAATCACTGTTCATTGAATTAAATGAACGACATATTTATATTATAAAAGCCTGTAAAATGCCGTATTAAATAGCATCTTCGGAACAAATATTTTAATTGGTATAGAGTATAGAGTAAATGTGGTAAATTCACATTAAAAATTGTTATAAAGAAGCTTGAATATTTTTTGTTAACGAATTCGTCGAATTGTAGGATAAACTCGATTTGTTTACAACGTATGGGGGAATTTTATAAAAAACAAGACGCCTGTTCTGGCGTTAACTCCGGCGCACGTGCCAGTCTTTAATATAGAGCTTCTGAACATAAACAATACAATTCATATTCGCATTTAGATGCCTTACGAAGCTAAATGTTCGATCGCGAAATTCAGCAGCACATCGTACTTTAAAAAATATAGAAGTTCAATTGTTCGAAAATATAAACAAACCGCATGATACATTCGCTTTGTCTCACATTTAGCCTTTGGAATTTGCGCTTATATATTATATCTTCAATCCTGTGCAAACTACGACGTGTCAACGCGCCCATACACGACCACATCATCTTGTTAAACGGCGAAATAGCAGCGATATTATTAAAATAGGACCAGAATCTACATGTATTAAATATATTCTTACTCCAATTCAATCTAAACTTAATCGAAGAGCATGAAAACAACGGTTTATTTGTTCCTCTTGAAAGAATTGCCGTATCATACGAGCGAAATCGAATCGCGCATCGGAAAATTAGCCAAAGCTGTGCACCACAACTCTTGGGAGATAAGACTGGGACGTAAATAAATACAGTCACATACACACTTTAAGTACTAGAAAGTTTCCCGCCATTTCAGACTTGCGACGACGAAAAATAAAAAAAAAAAAAAACAACAAAACAAAACCAAGGCGAATTTTCAACTCCGTCGCTGACGCCGGAGTAACAAGTTTCGACATGTTACGTATTTTGCGGTGAAAGTTCGACCCATTTCATTCTCGAACTAGTATAAAATGTATTGATGTAAATTTAATATTTCATCAAATTGTCTTCTGGTAAAGGTTTTTAGGCAACTGGTAGTGGTGGGTTAAATTTCATATTATATTACAGCAGCTTCTACGCATCGGTTCTGCTCATACGGGGGACTTCATGATTTAGAAATTTTCGATGTTTTGCATTTCTTTGAACATAAACTGTATCTCTTATCAATAGTTAACTAAAATGGTAATAAATATTCTGATAGGGCAGGATATTTTAAGAGATATAGCGATGCAATATGTAAACACAGCGTTTGTTTATGTTACCGACTGTAATCTACCTTTACAGATGAGACCAGGAACTATAGTCTTCCATAAGTATTGTAAATACATGTATAATTTTTATACAAACAAGAAACAAATTTAATAGAACATTGAATAAGGCCTCCACTAGCAATGTATTTACCTTGTGTTTGTCCTTGTACATTCTACCAGGAGTATAGACTATATGGACTTCATTTTTAAAAAAGAAGGATTCATTGATTTTGTTCATTGCTTTATCTGACCATACCTAAAAATGATTAAAATTGTTTTAGGCCTGGTCCAACAAAGCAGTGGACATTTTTTTAAATTTAGACCTCCCCAAAAAAGTACTGTGCAACTTGGGGGGGGGGGGTGTGCATAAGCCCACTTTTTACCCAAGATAATCTTTTTCAACCATTTCTTATACTTGCGGCAAAGTATGTCAGACACCAGGGCGAAGTGAGACAGACACCATTTAAAACTTTTTTTTAACCATGGTGGATTACCAGTCAACTCAACTCTTAGCTCCCTAGGTTCAATTTCATGGCACTGTTTCACTGCCCATGTAACACATATCTAGCATAAATGAACAAATGCGGATTTACCAAATGCGAAACTATTTCAGCTGTTTGTTGAAAATTACGCTCTCCCCGGTCCCGGATCTTTTTTTCGGTCAGGCAATAAAATTAAGCAACATAAAAAGGAAATCCTTAGTTTGTAGACCTGTATACATGCAGCCTACTCTTATATACGCTGTGTAAGTTTATTCTAAAACTATACTCGCAGAGCTACTTACATGCTATATGAAGAATGGTAGTTATTCAAATCATTTACCTCCATTTTTAGATTGCATAGCTGGGTTAACACAGACATTTTCAAATTTCTCACGAATTGGCTGTACTACCGATGGTATTAAGTTCACTTTTAGTTCCCACGTCGTCCATAATGTCCAAGGACTGCAAAATTGTATTTTTGACCGTTTGTGCTACGAAGATGAGCGATGATCGTCACAAAAATTACCATACTTGCACGTTAAAGAAAATTATACAGATCATAAATGGTTTATTAAATAATAGGCATGGAGGAACGTTGCAAATAAATTATGATGTACCATCCCCACCTAAAGGCCACAAAGAAGGGTCACTTCGAAGGATCGAGCAAAAAATATGTGAATTTACAGGAGTTGCAACCTTCGTGTATGACATTAGGATTGAAAAAAAGAGTGAATTCATGCAGATCATTGTTGCCCCGTCAAGAACTAAATACCTATACACATTGAAATACAATTTATATTTACCTACCGATCAACAAGTCGTCGAAGTATCAGCCAAAGATCTAGTTGAGAATGTCAGCTATATTTTGCGCACAAACAAACCATCTCCAGAAGCCGTTAAACCAGGTTCACATCTCAAAGAATTTACATTAGGCGCGTCGGTAGGTTCGGGTGAATCAAGGGTCGTTCAGTTCAAGTTGCTGTCAACAGACCGAACAAAATCCACAAATCTTGCTCAAAGATTAATTAATAATAAGTTCAAGCAATATGTGTCTGCGTTCGCAAATTATAGAGGTGGCCATGTCTATTTTGGTATAGACGACCAGGGGGTAGTGCAAGGAGAAACGATTACTGAACAAGACCGAATAGAGTTGAAGAAGACCATCAGTAAAGCAATAAAAAATATGATATGGCCTGAAAATAGTTTCAAACAAGGTGAGGAGGAGAAGAGATGGAAGATTGACTTCGAACCAGTGAAACATAAAAACAGCGAGGAATTTGTTGCTTCAACTTTTGTAATCGTCATCTATGTTGCTCATTGCCCTGGTGGTGTGTTCACAAAAAGTCCTGAATCTTATGAAATACGAGGAAATGAAGCAAAAATGATTGATTTTAATACTTGGAAAAGAAATATACTGGGAGGTTTAGAGATAGAGGAGGGTAAGATCTCTACTACAATGTTAAATTTAGTATTTTATAGTAGGTATTTTACTCTGTCGACACAACGTGCACGTCTTGCTTGAATAAGCTGACTGTTATACAAGAATTTATAATTCATCATTAATTTTAATGAATACATAAACGAAACATGGTCAGAAATGATAACCTCCATGAAAAAAAATATATTCTAGATTTTTTTAAGTAGCCAAAAAAGACTCAAACTGAACCGCTGCATGCCGGCTCTTACGAGCCGAAGATTTAAAGTTTTCGATCGTTCCGAATAACGGAATAATTAGGCCCTGTTTACATTATACCGGTTCGCATGATCAGGATTTCCAAATTAGTCATGTCAAAGCGAGCTTTAAGCCTCGTTTTCAAATGTCGTAATTCATCAGCGATGGTCTACGATCTATTGTCGGTGATCAATGAAGTATATAATTTTTTTCGATAGACAAAGCATTCTATGCATCAATAACCACCGAAAATAGTCAGCGCCGATGAATTACGATATATAAAAAAAGGCTTTACCCCAAAAGTATGATAGCATGATTGGTTTAATATATATGATTAGTTAAATGAAAAGGTTCTGGGGACAAGAGATAGTTGTACCCATGCTTGAGACCCTAATCTTTTGTGAACTGAGCCCGCAATTTCTTTATCCAGGTGGGCTGCGCGAGGAATCAGTGAGAGCTAGTGAAGCGTCGTTCGAAGCTAACACGGACAAAATATTGACAAAACATTTAAATGACGACTGCGAGTGGAGAGTCTTGAAGAAAGCTGCCGAAGATGCAGCATCAACCAACGACAGTATCAACGCCAAATTGATCTGCTTGTCGAAGTTGATCAAGTTCTGTTTGAGAAAAGGCTATAATGAAATCGCTGATCAAAAGCTTGAAGAATACACGAAATACAAGCTTGCCTTGCCGGAATCAGAAAACTTAAAGTTTTATCTTATGGAAGACTATCTGAAGTGCTTGAAAGAAAGATCTCGTGGTAACTGTGAGGAAAGCTACAGAATCGCAAAGAAATCGTTGGAGAAATTAGAAAAGATCGAACCTGGTGTTTTCTCAGCAGCATATTTCGTCCTCATAGCGACAGTCTTCAATATTATCGCAATGAAGAAAGAGAATAAAACTAGAAGAGGATTTTTCATAACGAAAGCATACGAATTTTATGATGAAGCTGAAAATCACTTGCAGGACCTGTCGCACGAATTTAAAGCTGTGGAAATGGATCTCAGGCAGAAAATATGCTTAAATAAGGCGATGCTTTTGTCAGGAAGCTCTCTTGACGGCAGTATGGTTTCGGATTATACTGCTTCAGTTATCAACACAGATATGGCAAAACTCTACCTTGAGGAAAGTCAACTTATCGTTACCCGCGAAATGTCTCCGCTTACTAACCTCCGTGTCATTCAGAAACATTTCGCTCATTCAGACCTATTTTTCCGAGTGGGTAAGTTCTACATGGCTGAGAATAATAATGAAATGAAAGTTCAAATGATGATGGGTGCTTTAAAGTCAGCTGAACGAGCAGAACACTCTGCGAAAGAGGCTGGTTTTAGGGAAATGCAACTCTACGCTGAAAATCGCGTTCAGGCGATCATTTCGATACATTTCACCGATTTACATTGACCGATTACATTTCCATGTGATATAATTACTAGTCCAATTTCAAATGCAAAATTCAATTTTAGAAACATATATATATATAGGTTAGGTGCACAAAGGTTAGGTGCTTCGAAGTTACCAAGAAGCCTTTTTAAATGAAAATCACATGCATTTGGGTGATACAAAATAATTAATGATTTTTTACCACAACAATTCGCGATCACATTTCCATGTAATATAATTACTAGTCTTATTTCAAATGCAAAATTCAATTTTAGAAACATAAAGTAAAAATGGAGCAAAATGGAGCAAAATCTACTAGCGGAAATAACGAAGAAATCCTTAAAGCCTTAAGACCTGATGAACACCTTACGGAAACAGATAAAGTAGATATTGCAAACGAGATAAATGATTCTTTTCTTTCCCCAATGGCTGAATTTACTCCTCTCACTCCAGAGAATTACCAAGATCTGTTATTTGGCGCAGCTAATGATTCTACTGTCACAATTGCTGCAGGAGACGTATTTAAAAAACTGTCAACGCTTAATCCAAGGAAAGCCCACGGCCCTGATGGAATACCAACATGGGTGTTAAAAGAGAATGCTGATTTATTGGAACTTCCAGTCAAAGAGATCCTAGATAGTTCTTACCGCGAATGCCGTATTCCACAATCTTGGAAAGAGGCCGACATTATTGCTATCCCTAAAAAGAAACCCATAACTGACATTAATAACAACCTACGTCCAATATCATTAACACCTATTTTATCAAAACTGGCCGAAGAATTCGTGGTTGAACAACACCTAAAACCTGCGGTATTAGCCACAATTGATAAAAGGCATTCGGATCCATCCCGAATTCAAGCACTACGTATGCCCTTATCAGCATGTTGCATTTTTGGAATAAAAACACGGACGGAAATGGCTCTACAATCAGAATTATGCTTTTTGACTTTCGTAAAGCTTTCGACATGATAGATCATCATATCCTCGCACGAAAACTGTTAAAATACAACATCCCAAAACCTATATTGCATTGGATCTTAGACTTCCTCACTGATCGCAGTCAGAGAGTTAAACTTAGCGATGACTGTTTTTCCGAGTGGAAGGCTGTGCCAGCGGGTGTCCCCCAGGGGACAAAATTAGGCCCTTGGCTTTTCTTAATCATGATGGACGACCTTGATGTTGCTGATAACAAAACCTTTGGAAATACGTAGACGATTCAACTATGTCTGAAGTCATAAATAAAGATCAACCTAGTATAATGCAAGCGTATGTCAACGAATTCTCTTCAAAATCCAGAAGTGATGGTATGCAGTTAAAAAGTCCAAATGCAAGGAACTTCGAATAAGTTTCTCAACTGTAAAGAGAGAGTTTGATCCTATTATTATCAACGACAAAAACATCGAAGTAGTCCAGTGTGAAAAACTACTCGGTTTAACCATCTCCGACAACCTCAAATGGAATAAACATATTGAGACTGTATGCAAGAAGATTTCAACTCGTCTATACTTCTTGCGACAATTGAAACGGGCAAAGTTACCATCCAAGGATCTTCTCTTGTTCTATGTTACTTGTATTCGGCCGGTTGCTGAATACGCGTGCGAAGTATTCCACGATTCCCTTACAAAATACCTGTCAGACGATCTCGAAAGATTACAACGCCGAGCTTGCAGAATAATCCTCCCCGAACATTCGTACGAGGATGCACTTAATCAACTAGGTCTCTTGTCACTGTTCGATCGAAGACAAAATTTGACCGATAAACTTTTTCGGCAAATTGTTAATGATCCGCAAGACAAATTACACCATTTATTACCAGCATTAAATTTATCTGAGGCATCTCTGAGAGAAAGAAGAATATTTCAAGTTCCAAACTGTAGAACATTTAGATTTAAAAACGATTTTATCAATTTCAACTCTAGTAAATACGTATAATATATCTGAGACACTAAATAATGTAAATAGATAGTTTTACCAATTGAACCTCCACTTTTATGGATTTTAATAACATAGATCATACTTTTTGTAACACTTAAGGTTTTTCAGCCGGAGCCTATTGCCGAGGCTGCAAGTTTTAAGTCAATAAACCATCTATCTATCTATCTATCTAAATAATTAAAGAGGAGTTATTTAGCTTTCTAGCAATATTTTTTAAGCAATAATGGCAGGAAATAACTATATGAAATAAAAGCGACTTGTTCATTGTAAATACACAGCTAATTTGCCAGTTTTTCAAAATATACAAATTGTATAAAACATGTAAGACTTGGATGGTTATGCAATACATAAGGCTTGTCCAATACATATACAACTTGATACGTAACTTGTCCAAAAATGTAAAACTATCAAATTATATAGAGGAATGCATGGTCCGTATATATCGCTTAAATTTAGTGCAACGGTATAGTCTCCTACAATAAAGGCATATTAAAATTTTATTTCATAGGGGTAATAAGTTAACCATGCATGCACGCACGAAATGACGGAATTGAATTTGTGAAATGTTTACAACACAAGCGACAGTAAGCAGCACAGCGTGACTCTTAAATTTTGGATGTCCCCTCAGAGTAAATTGTAAATGCTAAATGACAAATGCTAAATTACAAATGCTAAATTATTCCCGTCTCCTGCCCATTATCTTCGTTTCAAGTTTACGATACTTCTGGTAAAATCCTCGAATCTCTTCCTTCCTAACATATAAAATATAGCCGATTTGTAATTTGCGGTTAGGAAATAAGGGACTGGGTTCAAAGAGAAAATATTTCGTGCGGGTAACATGACATTACCAAGCGGGAACCCTAGTTGTGTAACAGCAAACATCCGTTGTTTAGTATTTTGACTCTCGAGGACTAGTGGACGTTTACCGATTACTCAGTGGTATCGATACCGATTGTTTCCAGGCTTAAGGTAAGCTTATAATTTTGGAAATACGAAAAACTCGTTTAGATTTAAAATTTTGGCAGGAGATAATAATTTAATGACTAAAGTAATTTTGAGTAGAGACTTTTGGAGATAATTAGTGGTTTTGCACGTTTTGGGCTGTATTGTTTGTCTGTAAGAGTACTTTATTCAACTGATTACTACAAATTCTTAGAACTTAATAGTCTTCCAAAATCGCAGAGAATGGCCGTGGTGTCACAGGCTCAATGATTACACGCCCCATACCTAATTTTCGGCCTTGTCATAGCGAATAGGGGGTGCATCAGGACCGTTGGCAGAATTTTTTAGTCGGGGGGCAGTGATGTTTCTTGGGTCGGAACAGTGACGATAAAATGAACCGTGGATCTTTTTTATAAACATGACATTACAAACAATTTCTAGAAAATTGTAAGTTGAACTGTTTCTAGGAAGTAGCTGTCCCACCGCTGTGTACGGCCTAGGAGTGTGGTGTATCACCCTACAAAATTTTCGGTAAATTGGGAGATTTGTAATTTTGTTGCGAAATTAGACATAAGGTACTTTTAAATGTAATTTAATTAGAGAGATTGATCTGTTCAGACAAAACACTATGTAATCGCTCCAATTATCATATTTAACTGGTACTTAACACCCTACTGGTTGATAAGAAGGTGCTAGTTACTAACTAGCACACTCACTACTGGTAAGTAGAAAGGTACTGGTAGGTAAATCCCAGGCTAAAAATAAAGAACAAACAACAACACGAAAACAGTCGGCAGGGCTGCAAAATGTCCGACAGCGTAAATTTTTCATAAATATTTCTCGCAGGTAGCCTCCGCGGGCATCTCTTATGTATTTATATTAGGCATTTATATTTGGCTTGGGTTAGCTGTGTCGGGGAAGGCGAGGAAAAAAGCGGGAGAGATTTTTAACCCTGGTTAAAAATGCCTAACCCAGGGTTAAATCTTAAATCTCAGTTGATTTGCGTTGCACAAAGGTCGGTTAGCGTTAACCCTTCTAGCTAGTGGGTTAACTTTTTAATCCTGGGTTAACTTCGATTCAAAATGGATGAATAAGGAGCGGAGACACGTAATCACGTATAATTCTTCATGAATTAAACACTTTTGAACTGTTTTACTAACAGTTTCGGACCGCAAAGTTTAAGAGTGGCTTCGTTTTATTTCAGCTGATGTATTGATTTATTTATCTTCGCTTCAATTGCAATACACGATAAATAAATACAACCGTACAATTTGAAACATCGTAATCGAAATATTTGTTTGAGATGCCAAAATTCGATTCTCTTTATTTAGTGGCAGAAAGTGGTAAGGCTACGTTTGTTCCTGAATATAATAATCAAAGAATGCCTGAAATTTTAAGATAGATTGTGTATAATTTGCTTAATTTTATTTCACATCGACATTGTTTATCACAAAAAAGGCCTTTCATTTCGAATCTTTCCAAAATTCCATGCACGGAAATTGCAGTTCAATACAACGTTACTGCCCTCACGGCATATAATTTTTCGACTGACAATATTTGCTCGTCGCCGTCGGGTAAAGTATGAGACTACCTTAAAACCTTTCAAATGTGGCATTTATTGTAGTTGTTTTTCCTGAGCCGGTTGATCCAACGATCTCTAGTTTAACCAGTTGATCTGAGATCATGCGCATAGAATCATTGTCCCTGTTCTGCCAACTATTAGTATATAAAGGGCGATAATTTTAAATTCTAATTTAGAGTTAAGTGAAAAACAAAATGTTTTACATGCCATTGCCAAAGCAAAAATAAGCACACTTATTAACTTTCTTTCCGCTAATAAAATTTAAAATTTGAAACGACTAGTTGCTAGATTTTTATGTTATTCGGGCAATTAATAATAGTGTCCAGCTTATTCCATATGCATTAATATAATAAATCACTAATAATTAACAGCTTGTAAAATAAAATATTGTCATTGGTATCAATTAACCGAAAAAACATACCATTCGCACGAATCCTTTTTTCCAGATTGAGGACATTCTGAACATTTAACACTATATAAATTAAAATTTTTAGATAAGACGCTGTTGATTTACAGTTTCTATGACTCTTTTTGAAGTTAAAGCAATGATGCAAAGCCTTTAATAGTCGGTAATGTCTTTGCAAAACGACATACCAAGCTCATATATACTTGTAGAAATAAAATAAACTCTTACAGCAAATACGGAGTAAACAAAATAGACACCAACCACTTCAAAGATTAGTAGAATTATGAACAATTATATCTATTTACAAAAAAACAAGTTTACAAGTTCAAGAGTGGACTGGATCTGAGAATTGGATCTGAGTAGAAGGAGAGGAACAGAACTGCGCACTATGACAGTATGTTTAGAGAATGTTTATATATACCGAGTTGGAAATAAGAAGGCTTTGTGAATGAGCAGTTTGTCAGGAAAAGGGCATAAAGATCGAATTTTGAAGTCGTCTAGCAAAGCAGTATGACCAGTACTGCTAAGGCGAGAAAGGATACTGACTGGGGCATGATGAACGATCTCCCCATAGGGTTGAAGGGTACCGGTCATGTAATATTGACCAACGTTTTCATATATCAGCGTATAAAAACTACGCTTTTACTTTTTATTATTTATTTTATTTTGCATTTTTACAGTGGATAAATTTTTGAGTAAAACTACTGTTATCAATTTGCGATGACAATATATGGCTGCTTAAACCTAGTGATAACTGAATAACATACAGGTTTAGGAAATTGGTCACCACCGGCATAGTTGGACCCAATAAAATTTTAAAATTCAAAATTCATAAATGCTAAAATAAATATTGTTGGTCAAATTTATTTACATTTGCTGACCAATAACATAGGAAAAAAATTATAATTTCACTAACTTTTTATCATGATGAACTATTGACTATTGAGGGATATTGGATAACACAGGTTACTGCTTTATAACTGGTGAGGACAGAAATACCCATGCAAGTGTTCAGATACTCGTGTGTGTAGGTGACAGACCGTTTGGCCCAAATACCTTTGCTGTTCCGCACCAGAGCCCACAGCTATATAGGCTCGCATAAAGGTTGAACGACAGCTGAAGGGTAAGGAAAATGACTAACTTCGGAAGATATAGTAGTTAAAATACATGCATAAGTGAGCTGATATCACCCTTAGGATTAATATCTAATAATTATATCCTCTAATCGTATCACCTCAGTAATTGCATATCATCCGTCCAGGCGTATCAGTAGAAACCGAAGTATAAACACAAGACGAATTATCTAGACGAACTATAGACGAATTACGCGGATAATTGGTGTTGACGGATGATCCGTCTGTTTGCCCGCATTTATACACAGACGAACTAGAAGACGAACTATCTTTCGCTTGCCCAAGTTCGTCCAGACTGATGATCCGTCTCTAGTATTAATCGGGCCAATTATAGTTAAATATCGCTGATACATGTTTTACAAACGTAAACAAATATCTGCGAAATTACGGCGATTCAAATAAAACAATGTTTTCGCAAAATCACCTCGTTTTCGGCGAGGTTAATCATTATCCCGTGTATTATATAGGGGCCTGTTGGCCTGTTCATATGAGACGGGCCAGCCCTGTTTAGCCTTGCTAGCTCGGCAGTGCTGGGATGAGTGGGATTTCGCTTCACATATTATTTCACTATATTTGTGAGTTGCATTTACTGATGGCCCATATTGTATGGGCCCGGTCCCATATGGGACCCGGCTCTGTCAGGATCCAGCCTAAACGAAGCGAGATCTCGCCTTTAACGCCATTAACGGGCTCATTATGAAAAATCCATGAAGCGGGCCAGCAAAAGCGAGCCAGCGGCCCAGCCCGCCTAAACCGGGCTGGCTAAGGGCGCTTCCCTTTATAGGGGGGCTATTATAGGGAGTCGGTCTATCCGGAAACCGCCATATTTTTATCCTCTTTCACCGTTAATCGTCATTTTTTCTTCGAAAATCCGTAACCGCCATTTTCCTGATCGACATAAAATTGGGTTTCTCTTCAAAGAACCATATGGACAACACATGGCATAAAAGAAACTCCGCACAAAAGAAAATCAAAGCTTTAAGATCATACGAAAATCTTTGAAGATACCTTCCATTAAAACTTCCAAACATTGATTTTAAACCCGAAAAAACAATGATTTTTCGCTTCCGTACAATAATCTCTTCATCGTAAACCGCCACGAAAACGTAGATATATCCGAAATCCGATCCTTGATGGATTAAGGCTACTCTCCATTACCGTTCGCTTCACCCGCGCGGGCGAAGCGGCTTTTGAAAATCTGTCCATGCGACCGTGACGGGTCTGAAAAACAAAGCGCGCTCCCGCGCAGGCGGAGCGGAGGTAATGGAGAATCGCCTTAAAGCAGCCTAACCGCCAGATTATAATAGCCCCCCTTTTCACGGTAAAAACGGTGGACCGGGTATTTTTAGAGTGTTTGAGAAATCTGCATTCAGATCTAGATAACTAGATTTAACATCTGATTAGCAAGGAAAATGCAGTTTTACCGCTATATTTTTAACGAGATACTCTATATCAATTCAAAATACGACCGGTCTGACCATTTTGGCCGCTTAATGGAGCGCCCCGAGTCTGAAATGAACGGGCCCTAACTCATACGTGTTTTATCCTCTTCAAGGAACATTCTCGTATAGGGAATTCCCAATTTCAGAAATCAGAACAAATCAGAACCTAACGTTCTCTGGCTAAGCAATTTGGCTAAACACTGTTTTGGCTAGCAGATATATCAGCTAGAATATAGTAGATGAATAGGTTGAAAATGGAACCATCCAGGTACGAAAATAATATTTTTTGGCAGAGTGGCAGCTTCTCTGTGATCGCGATCGGCATATATGGATGACGTGTCCTAATGTAACAAATGTATATCACCCTTATGTATCTTGTAATCTTGAATTAAGATAAACAGTACTCGCTATCAGATAGAGAACATTAAATATCAAAAAATTATAAATTATTCGCCGAAGGCGAGGTGAACAAATACTTATTACAAAGGTGATTATTCCAATGTTTTGAAAAACAAAGTTGATGTAAACAAATGTCTCAACTATTTTACAATTTAAATAAAACGACGTGTTATGCGAAATAAAGTTCAGCTGTGTTCTAGTGCAATTAACGTGCTGAACGTAGTTTATTTCCTAGGCAATTTTTTAAGCTATGTAAGATTGTAATACAATAATAAATAGTATTAAAGGAGGAGTCCAGCCTTGAATGCTGGTGGTCTTTAATTAAGAAACATTATAAACCTTATTAGGGTAATAATATTTAATGTCAAAGAAAAATTAACCAGGAAAAAACAAACATCAAAGTCTAAAAACATTAAATTTCTGAGATTGAAATATGCTAAAACAATTTCTCACAGAGCTAGCCTGAAACCTATACAAATTACAAAAGGATGATATATATGCTTTATACAAAGCATATTTGAAGCATTGAAGACCTATTTGAAAAAGAGCAGAGACCTGTTACAGGTTTCACAAGAATTAGCCAAAATTTAACATCTGTTTACTTTTCAATTTTTTTGAAAAACATTTTGAACTTTTGGCAGGAGAAAACCTGGCCTCACTTTCTTGTAACTTGTCAGTGGATAGTTATGCAAAGTGAAAATTGTAGCCATTTTAGATGTTGACAAATCACATAACATCTGGTTTATTACATTATAAACTTAATGTATGCTCCCGAGGAGAATAAGGAGTTTTGTTTTCCCAAGAGTCTGAATGTTTCCCAGGACAAAGTCGAGCAAAACATTGAGACTCGAGGGGAAAAAACTCACTATTTCCAGAGGAATTGTACATTAAGTGTTTTGTTGTATGGGAATATAAACATGCATACATGTCACACAACAATTTCATTTAAAAAAAAACACACATTACTTTGTCTTTGTTATGACAGTATGCGGGAAACACTGCATTTCCCTAGCGGGAAACACTGCATTTATTTAAAGTCATGTGACTACGAATGAACCAATCACATTTAAAATACACAGCACCTATATAACAAAATATGTTATATAAAGTTCCCAATATAACTCTCCTGCTTAATGACTACATGTTTGAATTAAAATGTCAACTAAAATACACAAAGATCTAACTGTCTGATTGTTGCTAAATGTGCCTATATAACACCCAACATTTCCCTAAATTTTTCAAAAGTGTTTCTTGGCAAGACTTTAGTCATTACATCACCTAACATACTTTGAATAGCAATATTTACAGACACTACATCTAAATTAACTTGTTCTCTAGCTTATAAAATGATAAGAAATATCAATGTCCTTACCAATGTTTTTTTCCTGACCAAGAGCTAAATCTTGATAGAAATCTTACTGCAGATGATATATCTGGTCCGGTAGCAGTAGCTACAATTGCCATCTGATATTGTTGCACTGAAAACCACTACCAGCAGACAATTTGATAAAATACAAGAAAAAACATACTCCACTGGTGTTGCACTTCCACTGGTGTTTCATCTTTTGGTAAGAAAAACAAACTTTGATCATTCCAACTTCCATGGGTGTAGACATTGTAGACAATTCTCCATTTGAAATCTCTTGAGTATCCCTTCTGTATACTTTGGTTGGTTACTCACGAGTGTTTTGGCTTCACAATCTCTTCACTTCACTGTGATTCCCAGAATGTAGTTGATTTCTCCCAAATCCTCTTTGTCAAACCTTTGTGCAAATGCAACCTTTTCTCTTTTTCACATTTCGGTATTGTTGGAGAACCATAACATATCGTCGACATAATGACAAACTGAGGGCAAGATCAAGAATGACAAAATTAATCTTTTCATCTTTGAATTTCACTGACTTGGTATATATGCATGGATCTGATCAGTTTGATTTTTTGTGACCATTTGTCGTAGGGGATGTATTCACAGAAACATATAGATTTTATCATGTAATTCTCCTTGTAGAAATGCTGAGTGTCTTTGTATCCATTTGGCCAACGAACAACGAAGACCTGATTAAAGTGTTAACCCGGTTTTCCACTACGGCACTAGGCGGAATTTATTTAATTATTCATATATTTAAAAAATTTATGTACATGAATAACCACGACACATACATAGGCAGGTAACAACAGGGCTATAATTACACCCTAGCTAAGGCCACCCACCGCTAAATAATAAGGAATATTTCGATCGAACGAAATTTTTCGCTCAATTTTCTTTTCAATTGTCAGAATTCAACCGTAGCGGACTTCCTTCACCGGTCACAATTGAAAAGAAAATCGAGCGAAAAATTTCGACAATGGTCTTCCCCGCTGGAGGAGAAACAAGTTCCAATGTCTCATTCTGCATGAGGAATTTATACGCAGTATCCATCGCTTCTTTCCATTCAACAGAATGTTTACAATTCAAGGTTTCCTTAATGTTTGACGGTTCATCAACATCATGATCAGAAGTTACATTCCCAGCAGTTAGATTCTTCACATAGATTCTCAACTTCTCTTAGAAAATTTTCCTCAAATGTTACTCCCACTGCAGGTTGACCTGGTCCTATCTCTTCGACATTCATCAGGTCCTGAACGCAAGTTCAAGTGGTTGTTCTTGAACTTTATCCGACAAAATATCTTCTTCAGAAAAATCAAATGAGACTTGTAGAAAAACTGTTATTTAACAAAAGAAACATCCCTTCCACGCAAACCTATTTGATAATGGTTCAAAGAACTTATAACCTTTGGGCTTTGGTTCCATCGGGTAACCAACAAAGATAACTGCCTTCTCATCAAACCTCCGTCGATTCTCTTTTGGAATATGAAGAAAAGCTAACTGACAATCCCTGTTGTGGGACTTGTAGATGCAGTTGGACTTCGGTTTCGAAGGTAGGCAGCAGTATTAATAGCTTCAGGACTGCACGAGTGCTCTATTCATCCTTTCAGATACACCTAGCATGGGACATCGTCCCGTTTGTTTCCAGCCTTATTTGGTTATTATTCTCGAATAAAGTTGTTAAATTGAAATTAAATTAAATTAAATTAAATTGAAAAAATTAAATTAAATAAATTAAATTAAATTTTGTGCAGGATAGTAAGGGGTAGTATATATACGTTGATGGCTGATTGTTCTCTCCTTCAGGTATGATTTAATTCATTTGAACTCATTAAAGCAGTACTCACTCCATTATCCGTGTGGAGAAATTTAATTGATATTCCTTTGAGATTAGTAGCATGCTTACAAATTCTCTGAATTTTTTAAGGACCTTGTCCTTTCTCTTGATGAATGTATAACGAGAACAGTCATCAATGAAAGTTACAAAGTACCGTGAGCCGCCAAATGAGTTGACCGACATTAGTCTAATGACATCACTGTACACCCATGACTTCAGATGCGGGCTTTCCTCCTTCTTTTCGATATTCAGTTCTATGTTGTTTTCCCAGGATACAACCTTCACATATTAAACGTCCCTTGCATTTCTCTTCACAGCTCATTTCATCAACTATATCTCCTTTCATCAATTATTTTACATTGCCAGTACCTAAATGACCATAACGATAATGCCACAGTTCCACATTAGAGTCCTTTCGTATACCATATACACATGCTGATCTTCTATTTGCAACAAATAGAGCTTTCTTTCCAATAGCTAGTAGGTTTCCATTTCTTCTTATACTTCACAGAACAAATACAAACGCATGTTGAGGGACCAAGAGCGGTAATTCGAACCATACAGTTTTACGAATCTCAGTGTGTTCATATTGTCAGCCATGTTTCAGTGAAATATCTGCAAAATTTGAACCAGTTCAAAGTCAATGAGAGTTTACGAGAGTGCATGAGAGTTCGCGGTCAAACGCTAGCGAGAGTTGCAACTCTCATACACTCTCCTATTCTCGTTTGACCGGGGCTTAAGTTTCGTAAGAATGAGGGTATAGTCAAATTTTTTATGATCATCCGTTTATTTCTAAATTTTTACCAGAAAATTGCAGTCGTTTTCCCCGTGTGTATCTTGTAAAGCGCGTACAGAAAAAGAATGAAAATATTTTTGCATTTTGTTGGAAGAAAACCTGACTTAAAAGAAGGTAGAAACATTTAAGTTTTAAGAACTGACCGCAGAGGCCGAAAGTAATTTAGGGCTGCGGGTGCACAGTTTTAGAAAAGGGCACATTATTCTACCTCGGCAACCACACGAAGAGGAAACGTAACTTGCAAGTATATGCGGACTTGCTGACCCACGTGTTAAACAACTCCTTTTATGTTGTCTTTCACGTCATCTTTCACGTCTTATGTTATCTTTCAGACCGAGCAGGATCGTCGGAGTCGTATGGGGAACAGCTCATAAGTAATTAAATATGATAAACCAAACGACAACTTTGCTTTCTTCAATTTATATTCTGCTATTCTCTTACTGCAATCTCATGTCAACTTTTTACATACGACTTTAGTGCATTATTGTTCATTGCGCATTGTGCATTGCGTTTTCACTTGTGCAAAGTGTCAACCACGTGCAACCCTTACCTTTCTCTGTGCATAAGTATAATCAGTTCTTTCCATTCTCTAACACACGGGAGAACGTATGTTCAATGATAATATCGATCAATTTCATCCCAGTTGTCTAACCACTAAGCTATGGAGAACGTTGCTTGTGGTGGTGTAAATTCACGTATGTACAGATGTATGGGGTGGTGCAGGTTGTATATGTCAGGGTTCATTGAAAACAATTTCTGAAGAATTGAATAATCATAACAAAAGTGACGCCTACCAGGTGCCCCCCAACCCAATGGCGATCAATTTTCATCCCTAGTCGGGCGGAAGTTGATAATCCTACGGTAAATGAAGCAATCGAGTCGATTTTAAAACTGAATTACTGTATCGATTTATACGGAAATGACTATAGTCATGAGCGTTTGCCGTAGCAAACTGTTATGAGCTATATTCTTTTTTGGGGTTCCATTTCAATTATTCGATGTTGAATTAAATCATAATTGCTTATCAACATAAACATATAATTAAATTCTCGCGAGTATAGAAAATACAGACAGAACCGAAACTTCCTTCCTTTTTTAACCGGTTTGCGCGAAGGCGTCAGAAAGTCAGCATAACGGCTTAGACAATGAATGATTTTGCATGGTTGCCTTAAAAAGGTAACTAAATAGTACAAACCTTTAGTTTTCATGCAAACTCTGTACTGATATGTTACTACTCAGCGTCAAGCCATCCATTATTCTATAAGAGCTTAGTAGCAATGAAAAATAATATGAAAATAGTGCTTATTTAATTGATTTTCAGGTTGCACATCTGGATGACCACTGACAGCCAAATTGATAGCAAATTTCCAACAAATTGGTTGTACTACCGCCTGTCATTAAGTTTGAAATAATCATCTGTCACAATGCCAATATTTGTCGACTTGTTCGTTTGTGCCACCAAGATGAGCGAAAACCGTAACGGAATTTACGAAGCTACCGTAATAAAGAAAATTGTACACATCATAAATGCTTTATTTAATGGTAGACTTGGAGGAACATTGCGGATAAAGTTTGATCCAACTTACGCACCTAAGCGACACATAAAAGAGTCGGTTCGAAAGATCGAGCAAAAAGTATGTGAATTTACCGGAGTGGCAACCCTCGTGTATGACCTTACTATTGTTAGGAAAAGCGAATCTATGGAAATCACTGTTGCCCGGACAGACATCAACTATATCTATACTTTGAATTACCATTTATATTTACCAACTAATCAACAAGTCATCGAATTATCACCGAAAGACCCCATAAAGAAAGTCAGGGACATTTTGTGCAAAAACATTCCTTCGCTAGAGGTTGTTACTCCAGGTTCACATTTTAAAAACTTTATATTGGGCTCTCCAGTTGGTTTTGGTGAGTCAAAAACCGTTCAGTTCAAGAGTTTACTGGTAAAGCGAACGAAAAGCTCCAATCTCACTCAAAGGTTGATTAAAAATGGTAAACTCCAGTGTTATGTCTCGGCATTTGCAAATTATAGAGGTGGCCATATCTATATTGGTATAGACGACGATGGGATAGTGCAAGGAGAAACTATCACTTTGCAGGATCGACTTGAACTAGAGACTGAGGTCAGTAAAGCAATTAAGAATATGATATGGCCTGATAACAGTCAAACGGATAGAGAAGAGAAGCAATGGCAGATGGTTTTCGAAGAAGTAAAGTATAAGAACGGGGGAAAAGTTGCTTCAACTTTCGTAATCGTCATTTATGTCGCGCAACGTCTTGGAGGTGTGTTTACGCAGTTCCCTGAATCTTACGAAATGAGAGAAAATGAGGCAAAAATGATCGATTTTGAAACTTGGACCAAATATATGGTGGAAGGTTTGGGAAGGGCGAAAGGTAAAGTTTTGAATTATTCATAGACTTTACTCTGTCTAAGCTTGTTTTCCACTAGGTGAATTTGTTCTAAAATCCGGTGATGTGATTGGTTTGCGAAAAAAGTTGCCGCGAAAAAGTAGAATCGCTCCCTACTTTTTATCTGTTCGCGCGAATTAATAAATTCGTCTGGTAGAAAAGAGGCTTAATGTCAGACAATTTTACTAGAGCTGTTAGCCCCATACAGGGCATACCGCATAACAATTTTGATGAATAGCATTGTCAATGAAAAAAGACTGTGTTAATTTAGATGGAAATAATGAGGAATCAGACGAAACAAGTAAAGCATCGTACGAACTTGACATTGACAAAATGCTGACAAATCTTCTAATTGATGATTGCGAGTGGAGCGACTTGAAGGAAGCAGCTGACAAGGCACGAGACCACCACGACAGCATCGACATCAGATTGATCTGTTTATCGAAGTTGATAAAATTGTGTTTGAGGAAAGGTTATTTTGAAAAAGCTGATGAAATGTTTAAAGAATACAAGACAACCTTATCGAAGTCTGAAAACGTGAAAACGTTCGAGATCGTGGGAGAATATTTGAACTGTTTAAGCGAAAGATCACGTGGTAATTTTAAAGCAAGTTGCAAGATTGCCATGAAATCATTACAGAAACTAGATAAGATTCACCCTGATATCGTCTCAGCAGCTTATCTTCTCATGGCAACAGTCTTCAATATTACAGCAATGAAAAAAGAAGGTAAAACTGAACGGAGTCCATTCATCACGAGAGCAAAAGAATGTTACTGCAAGGCTGAAATTCACTTACAATACGTGTCGCCTGAATTTAAGGCAGCGAAAATGGATCTCCGGCATAAGATTAATATGACCAAAGCAATGTTTTTCTCAGGAAGTTCACTTGAAGGAACAATGCTTTTAGATCGCGATGTTTCAGTTATAAATACAGATGAGGCGCAAAACTGCCTTGACGAAAGTCATCACATTGTAATCCGCCAAAAGTCTGGGCTAAGCGATCTTCGTTCTATTCAAAAACTTCTCGCCCAGTCCGACTTGTTTTACCAAGCAGGAACAGTCGCTACAGCACTTAAAAAAGAGCAGGTGATTTCGGATGCTTTGAAGTTTGCCAAACGAGCTGAACACTTGGCTGAAGATGCTGGCGTTCCTGAGATGAGGCAGTATGCTAGAAATCGCGTTATGGCTATCGAAAATCATTTACGAACTTTGGAAACGTTGGAAAGCCATCCATGCATCCCCTCACCATAGCTTTGGACATTGTTATCGAACTTCGTTCAATCAATCAATCCATCAATTAATCAATCAATCAATCAATATTTAATTAATCATGTTATCGAACTTCGTTCAATCAATCAATCAATCAATCAATCAATAATTAATCAATCAATCATTATCAATCGAATGAAATAAAATAATTATCAACGAATCAAATCAAATCAACCAATTAATTAAGCTAGTATACTACGATTAAATGAAGTATGCAATAAGTATTACAAACTCGAACGATTATCTCAATTTACAAGTATTGTAGAATATTCTAGTTTAAAAAATTACTATTGTTGTAGTTATGAATAAATACTTTATAATTATTAATAAACACAATAGCACGGATTGATTCAGGCAGATTATCCTATTAATACGCCGCGCAATAACTAAGAGACTGCTTTGAGTTTCTTCCTATGAGTGGAAATATTGTCCCCCACCAGCTACATTCAGTAATGGCTGCTCGCACACCCAGACCCCATTTAATTCATTGCATTCAATAATGAAAATAGATCAACCAAGCGAATTCACCTTTTATATCGAGAAGAAAATTAATGATTTGCGATGGAGGTTATAATAGCAATACCATGCAATCGACCAATCTTCCTCTAAACTAAATTTAAAACTTTACGCGCGAAAAAATCCTTACCACGTTTTCTATAAACAATTGCCAATTTCGCACGGCGATATGTTTAAACATTTTGCAACCAAACTTTTCATTCTTACTCATTTGGGGATATCCCTTCCAACTGAACTGGTAATTTTTTCTATAGTTTTAAATTTAGTTTAAAAAGAGAATAGGTCATTATGACTTGCTGGAGAGTAAACAGCACTTTAGGACATAGGATAGTATCACAATCTCGCCAAAAATTATACCACCTCCATGATTATGATAATCATGGCGACTAAATACGGCTGATTTGAAGCTATTCCAACATTCTAACATTTATTTTCTAGATAATATTATAAAGTGTTCTACACAACTCGTAGCCACCAAATTCTGATGACACACTATACTATATATAGCCGTAATAATCAAAGTGAACGGTTATAACTAAGCAAAATTCAAAAATTCATTTGTTACGCCGGATAAAATGTTATGAGACTCTGACAGTGGTGGTCAGTTTTACCTTTAGTTAATATATTCATAAACAATAATTAGTGTGCAGTTCTGTTTTGCATAGTTCTTTCAACACAAACTGAATGCTTAATAAAAGGATCAATAAGTAAAAAGAGGCCGTCAGCTTCAAATGTGGAGCCAAATACTAGCATCCTTGCATAGATCTCGCGTTTGAATCATTGTATTTTTGTCGGCAATATTATTTTCAGCGATATATCTGTTCTATATTTGTTCGAAAGTTCGAATATCTGTCCTGAAATTTTACAAAGTCTTTTAAAATAGCGTTGGTGTGGTACCACCTCTCATGCATCTTCATCGCTATAATAAAGCAATATCCATGGCCTTTATATTTATAAATAGGAACTGTCGCTTTAGACTGAATATCTGCACAGTGAAATACTGAGGTAGCGACACATGCATTGAGGTCGACGAGGACAAAATAACATGCAACCTGGTGGGAGATGCCTGGGGCCGGTTGTATGAAAGCCGGATAGCACTATCCACCAGATAGAGTGATTTTTTCAACCTTTCTAAAAATGCTTGAAAAGCAATGAAATTTCAGCATTGGAACCAAAAATTATTAAAGACGATCCCCGATATAGGAATAAAAAGATTTAATCAAAATTATACCAAAAACGGGCGCGATTTTGAAGCGATTGAAAAAACCACTATCCGCTGGATAGCGCTATGGTTAGCCACCTACAAATACTTAATTCCTGGTATTTGTAATTATGACGTCAAATTTACAAATAATTTCTGGTATTCTGTAATTGTGACGACATATTCACAAATAATAGATTCTTAAATAGACCTTTAGACGTGAGAGTAAAACTTGAAATCCATTTCATTAATGATCTAAATCTAAAACGTTGTGATGTTAAAATGTTGTGATGTGATTACCGAAAAGGTCTATTTAGACTATAGCATTCGTTGCCGAGTCTGTACGGTGTTATCAGCAACTATACTAAAGCCCTGAAATTTTACAAGATCTTACCAGTTCAACATCGATCCAATGTTTCAAATAATTTGCACGACGTCTTCACGTAAAGAACATGTACCTAAAATGCACACGAGTTCAAGAAGGATGTCGTATAGAAGGATATTTCATATCTTTGCACGTCGCTCGTGGGAGTAAACTTGAAATCCATCTCATTTAAGGTGGTTCTAAATTTAAAACGATAATGTTGTCACGTAATTATCGAAAAGGTCTATTAGAGGATGCTTCGTGAAAACCTGAAAAATAGATATAACATCTATATATAGATTTTACGCCAATAATTATCGCGTCTTTGCATATTAAGACCAAATTTTAATATAATTTTAGTTCAACTTGCCATATTCCATTCACTCTCAGCTTCGAATCCTCTTTTCGATAAATGAAAAAGTTGAGCAATACGTGAAAAAAATAACAGAAAATGTCGAAATGAACCTGTTGCTGGGGATATACTTATTATAGAAGATTTTCAGATGCGCAAGCTGTTATTGTTTGACTTCTCACATTCCTATATAAACGATCTGAACATTGAATGTGTTGATTGATATTGTGCAGAATTGTAAAATGGGTCCTTGAGTTGGCGCCTTACCACCATTAAAAATCATATTTGAAAATCAGTAATATTCACACAATATAGAGATACGTTCCACAGAAAAGAGCCTAGTTCATAATTATTGCATCATGTGGAAACATCACGTTAGCAGTTATATTGACTTGCAGGAAGACCGTACAGTAATGAGTGTTTCCCCAAATTTGAGAAGATTTCATATACCTATAGAAATGATAAAAACAAATTTTTAATTATATGATAATGTCATAATGAAATTTTTATGTAGGAAAGAAAGCAAAAATGATTCAATATCAAAGCTGCTAAAAGATCGTACAATTATTTACAATATACTGTAGTTGAATTGAAAAGCAATCGCGTATGTGTTACGTTGGTTACGTCTGACGTCTGAGAGTCGACCACTTCAACACCGTCCTGGATAATCAATTTCTCAATAAAATCAACTGCTTTATTCTAATTGCCGTCAAGCATTGCATGGATAAGCTACTCATCTCTCGTAAATTTCTAGTTCAAATGCAAAAATTGGAGAAAATGCTTTAAAATTAAATTAAAATAAATTAAAACATATTCCACTTTTGAGTGATTGAAAACACTGGAATATCATAATATGCTGCCTATTAGGAGGCCCATTCCGAGGACGAATCTCCGGCAGATCGCGGGCCGAACTTCACAGTGATACAGATATATTGTATTGCCAATGATTACTGTGCGTAGGCTATGATTATTTCGACTTCTGTATACTCTCTGTGTTTTTTATCTGCATTTGCAATAGACCTTTTCGGTAATTACGTCACTAAATTTAACGTCGGTTACGTCACAACGTTTTAAATTTAGAAGTACATTTTAAATGGCTTCAAGGTTTACTGTCACGAGCCACGTGCAAAGATGCAAAACACATGCATGAAAAAGATTTTTTCATTTTGACCAAAAAATGTGTAAATTATCCACAACGCGAGAACGAGGCTCAGGGGCTAAAACAGCGAGCCTCGTTCTCGCGATATGGCTAATTTCCATACTTATGTGTCAAAATGAAAAACTCTTTTTCATGCATGATGCATGTGTCGAAGAAGGATGTTCTGCATCTTTGCACATAGCTTGTGAAAAACAGGAAATCCATCTCATTTAAGGTGGTTCCAAATTCAAAACGATAATATTGTGACGTAATTATCGAAAAGGTCTATTATTATTTCTCTCAAAACTTTATCCATTCCTTCCCACGGTTGAATCTCTCTACAAGATTAACAAGAATAATTCATAATTGACTGAAAAGCGACTATTCTGCACAAAAAATAGAACTACTCAATGAGGAAATGATAGGGGGTGAACGATTTAGCTTCTGAGTTCTGATTGGTTGAATGGAGGATTTGCAACTGCGGGCTCCTGAAACATTATGTCGCAAATATAAATAGCACGTGTAAAGAAAGGTAGCAGAATTTCGGTTTGTTACTCGTTTGTAAGAGTCTGTATATTCCTGATTTGATCGAAAATTAAGAACGAACTTGAGAAGCTGTATGGGCGAAGACAAGAATTGGAAGGTAATTTACTTTTTGAGTTGTTATGATAAATTCTTTGCCACCACATATTCAGAAATAATGATCATGATCTGTCATCAGCGTTTGGCCGTTTGCCATCCAGGGCCTCCAGGCTGACTCCGCTTCCAGACTATGAAGAATATCCAATGATAATTTAAATTTGTGGGAGTCGATTCGTAGATCATGAACGTATTCGTAGCCACCCAATGAAAAAAAGTAAAGAATTTTGAGTGGCCCCCTACTTTATGATAATTGAGCATGAAATGTACCACAGCAATATGTTAAATACATTTACATACTTTATCCCGGATAGTCCTCGGCACATAAAGTAATCTTTTTATATTGATTAGTTCCACTGCTTTCAGCAGTTCAAAACTATATCAGCACACTTTCCCACTGGGAGAATAAAAGATAACATTACTGCCATTTTTGCTCATGAAAGTGTATAGATCTATTAAATACTCCATGCACCATAGAGCCTATTTCAAAGAGACCTACCATGTACTTCTGATTAGACAGACCTGAAGTTGTTAGCCTCATTTATATTTTTCTCTTAGATTAATTTGCTAACCCATTCTTTCATTTACACTCAAATACCACTAAATTGCTACATTAGATAGAGCAAATTAATACATTTACATTATTAGAGCATTATTATTATTAAAAATTACATGCATTATTGCATTGTTATTGCAACAGTGCCACCGTGTCAATTAGTCTACTTTTGAATTCAGTTTGTTACCTTTTCTCAAGCTCTATATTTCACTCTTTCACTTTTAAAACTTCATGCATTTCCTGTTTGGTACAATTATCATGTAATCAAATGCAATGGTAGTTAACCTTAGAGGTTTTAACATGTAAATATGCTGCATAGGAGTGAACATATGACACAAAATTTTGTATGTTTGCTGTACTAAACACAAGCAACAATATTGCCAGCCCTTGACATTTTGCTGCCAATTGTTTGTCCCAGGTTGGGTGGTGTCTTCATTATTATTATTATTTGTTATTATTATTATATCTATAGTTTTAGCCTGTAAAACACATTTGATCATATCAATGCATGATTGCATGTTAAATTGCTCTATATAAATAAATTATATTATTATTATTGTTCATATGGTTATTTTTTGTAGAAATTTTAAGTACAAAATATGCCATTTCCTTCATTTTTGGGTGGAAAATATTTCACAGTTGTATGATATATGGCATTACTCTTTACTAGGACTATGAAATAAAAAACTTTATTTCAAACAATAGTTTATTTTATTTAGTTAATTGCACCTTTTGCCTTGCACCCTTCTATCTGGGCAACCCTAAGACCTGAGTGTATTTCTGCTTTTCAAGAAAACAAACAAAGTTGTTTTCCTTATTTAACTGCATGGCAGGCAACAATAATAGCATAATCTCCTTCTACATATGTTATACATTATATATATATATATATACAAATTCTATATACTATGTTATACATTCACAGTGGCGTAGCCAGCATGATGATTTAGTCATGCTATGCAAATTTTATGTTATTATCATTTTCATTTCTTTAGAAATTCATTGCTTTCACAGTCAATGAACACCAAAATATTAGCATAGCATGACTAAATTGTCGGACTGGCTATGCCACTGTACATTTAAATTGTCCAATATTTGAACTAAATGACCAGTCGATTTTTCACGAATGCAGTGGCACATTACTATAATTGTGAAATTGTCGTGAGGGTGCTAAAACTGATATTACCAAGCCTATATTGTGCTAACCTGCTTATCACATACTTGCACCTTTACCTATAGTCCAGGAATAAAAATGGCACATAAATTACATTCATTATTCAAAAGAAAATTGATTTTGAGCAGTACTACGAAATGGATCTCTAACAATGTCAATGCTCAACTAACATATGTTGAAACAACTGTTTATCATCTCCATTCACACAATCATTGCTTATTGTACGTGACAATTCGTTGTGTTTGCTATCATTTTGGTGATTGCGTTCATATTTCTACTGAAATCTACTGATCAGTTTAGGTACAACATATGCGATATTGTTTAATCCATTCGAACGTTTCTGGAGGGCAATTGCCCCCCGCCAGTATTCGATCCTACATTGTTGAAGTTTTTTTGAGAAAACGAAGGCAGAATTTTGAGGCATTTTTAAGACCCAATCTGGAACGTCGCAAAAAATACAACATCAGTCCTCCGGCAAGAATCAAACCTACCCAATACCTTTAATGTATCGTATTGCATTTAAATTTATTGTATCAAAGCGTTTTCAATGGTCTTAAATGCTATCTAATTATTTTTTCACGGCACAACAATTCTTAGATATGAAAGCTGATCATATTTTTTCTACAACCCGTTTTGTTTCTATGAATACTATGATTAGTTGTGTCATGAAAACCGCATAAAGCTTTTCTTATGTATTTTACTCGTTAAAATAGATAAATGCTACCAGCTCTGAGACGTGACTGCTCGAATAAAAAATGAGAATGAAAACTATATTATCTAGACTTTATATGTTGTTTAGAGTCTAGACATACCCAAAAAAGAGATTTACACATTTCATTTAACACTGTTTTCAACAACCAATTTTGAGCACAACATTTAGATCCTGTTAAATCGGCGTCGCGCTGTTCATGCATGGCAAAATACTATGGATAACGTTGAGTAGTCCAATTCCGCAAAGAAGAATACAAATCAGCTAGCGGACGTCGTGGGTTCATATCCGCGGCAGATGCAAATTCGACACCCGTTGCATTGCTGTGAGCACTGAGCCACGGAGCGAGCTGCCAAGAGACAACGTGAGATTCCTGCATGATCAAAAAATAAGTGAACTGTAGACAATGTACTGTACCGTTGCCCGTATTTCGTGCTGTTCTTTTTGCAGACGGACAAAGAAACTAGAAAACCCTTTGTTCAGTTTCAAGTGGTATGAAGGCAATTATTACAAACTGTTAACTCAATGCGTTCCCAACTAATCCTGTGAGTCGTACTTCTCTGAAATTAAACAGTCAAGAACCTTAGTAGTAAAGTGATGACTCGCTTTAATAAAGCGTGGACTGTGGAGATAAAGACAGAATTGTTATAAAATCGTTTTGAAAGTTATTGAGGTCAGCCTAAAGGGTCCGATCATTAAATGAGGAGAGGGGGGGGGGGGTTACAAAAAAATCCTGGGTACGAGGTTGAGGAGATAAGGGAGAAACTCCAATATTTTGCAAATGAGCAAAATCCCTTGCAATACATCTATATTTTAGGAAACCTTTGGTCATTTGAAAATTCACCTTATTTGCAACTTGCAAGCTTTTTCCTACTGTTTTCTACGTTCTCCGCGCTCATATTTTTGCCTATAAACGCTCAGAAAAGTTTCCAAAAAAGAAAACCAGTTTGCAGTATTTGATCGATGATATATTTTGTTATTTATGAAAATTTTTTTGGCATGTTTAGTTATTAAAAAACTATATAGCTCTGACATAAATTTCAAACTAAAATAAATATATTTCAAGAGATATTAAGGTGGTTTTATACCAAACAAGACGCCTGTTCTGGCGTTAACTCCGGCGTGCCGGGCACGTGCCAGTCTTCAATGTAAAGCTTCCGAACATAAACGATACAGTTCATACTCATTTCGATGCCTTGCCAACCTAAATGTTATTCGATCGCGAAATTCAGAAGCACATCGTACTTTAAAAAGTATAGAAGTTCAATTGTTCAAAAATGTAAATAAACCGCATGATACGTTCACTTTGTCTTACACTTTGCCTTTGGAATTCGCGCTTATATAGTTATATTAAATCTTCAAACCTGTGCAAACTGCGACGTGTTAACGCGCCCATACACGACCAAATCTTGTTAAACGGCGAAACAGCAGCGATATTATTAAAATAGGACCAGAATCTACATGTTATATACCCCAATTAAATCTAAACTTAATTTAATCGAACAGCATCAAAAGAAGGGTTTATTTGTTCCTCTCGGGAAAATTGCGACGACGCAAAATAAAACAAAAACAAAAGAAAGCCGAGTAAAAATCACGATTTATCCTGTTTTAAAAATTTCGAGGGATGCAAACTTAAACGTCTTCCTAATCCATCGTGAATATTTTTTCTCAAAAAATATGCGAAGAACGAAAAAATGAAACGATAATTTTTTTAATTATGGTTTTACTTATTAGATGGGCTTATTCCATTGTTTCATTGTTCTATTGTATTGTTCTCTATAATTTATAAATATATGCAAAACATTTTTCGTCCCCTTTTAGCAAACTAAAATTCCCATTCCCCTTATTTTCGTGCGCAATAATTCAAAAAGTAATAAAGCTAACTTAATAAAATTTTCATGGTTGACTTTCAAGACAATTAAGTCTATATATAAGTAAAACAGCGACTGTTTATTTTAAATAGATCGTAGAAATTTTATATTTATAGCCTGCAAAACGTTAAATACTGGAAAAGTTTATTTATTCTAGGTTCAGCTCCGAGGCAAAAATATTTACAACCAAGCGAAACCAATTCTGTTGTTCTAGCGTTAGTTATCGAGTTTATCAAGCTAGTTAGTTATCGTGTTTATCAACCTAGTTAGTTATCGAGTTTATCAAACTAGTTAGTTATCGTGTTTATCAACCTAGTTAGTTATCGTGTTTATCAACCTAGTTAGTTATCGTGTTTATCAACCTAGTTAGTTATCGTGTTTATCAACCTAGTTAGTTATCGTGTTTATCAACCTAGTTAGTTATCGTGTTTATCAACCTAGTTAGTTATCGTGTTTATCAACCTAGTTAGTTATCGTGTTTATCAACCTAGTTAGTTATCGTGTTTATCAACCTAGTTAGTTATCGTGTTTATCAACCTAGTTAGTTATCGTGTTTATCAACCTAGTTAGTTATCGTGTTTATCAACCTAGTTAGTTATCGAGTTTATCAAACTAGTTAGTTATCGTGTTTATCAACCTAGTTAGTTATCGTGTTTATCAACCTAGTTAGTTATCGTGTTTATAAAAATCGTTTATTTTCCACCATTGGGTGTGTCTGATCTGGGTAACTATAGTGATTGCAGATTCGTACAAATCTTTTTTCACTGAGAGCAACTTCCCTTACAATATGGCATAAAAAGATTTTATATTTTTCAAAATAAGGGGAAAACAATTTTTTGGTATAAGACCAACGTAATTTGTTTCCACCGAGAAATGGATTTCTATAATTTAACAACTAATCTGGATGCAGTATGGCTGATCAGAAATAAGTCTTTTAATGAAGGGTGATGCATGATTAACTTATATGCATGGGACACTGGTTTATTATACCAAATATACTATGAACATGTCTTGTATTATTCAGAGTTATTGCCAAAAATCTTCATTAGAATACACAGTTCTCTAAAAGCGGTCTTTCTAGGCTTGTCTTCCCTATATCCACTCATCAACTATATATACTCTTTAATAATGATAGTGAGTGTGGTTAACTTTATTATAATGTGGCTGATCAATATAGACAAATGAACAATTTTATTTAATTTTTGTGTTGACTTACTACTTTTTATGTTAAATATAAGAAACTAAAATTCATATCAATTCTGATGATGGAGTATCTTATACATCTTCTTGGTGGTTTCTATACTAGTATATTATAGCAACTCTAATCATAGCAATATGAGAATACCTATTTTGGTTGCCCGTGTAACGACAAACCATTCAGTTGGTGAAAACCTGGTGCCCCCTTTTGTTACACGATGCAATATACCAAGAATTTATCTTGTTTATATATCTCAAGAATTTATATCTCAAGAATTTATCTAGCAAAGTTTATGCTGTATACATGTGCCATGGTCGTATAGACTATAACAATTTGGTTGTGTTCGGTGATCGTTTTGTGCAGTTTTTGATGTGATTATTACATATCAAAGTCTTATCCTATTTATTTATATAATTGAATGAAAACACGAGTCCGCTGTCTATTCTTTAACTAATGCCAAAGTATAGTCTTGTACCTACAGTGTTTATCACAGTCAACTTTAAATACATTAATTCAACAATTAAAACTAAACAAAACGAACATATCGTATCCTTAAACATGCAGTTTAGGGAAAATTTTTCGACTGTAAAAGAATGGACCACTTGCGTAATAGACCAACTTTTGATTAAGGAGACAAAAGGGAATTTTCGAAAAGAACATACTAAACTTAGTATAACTGCCAAGTTTGTCTGGGAAATATTGTGAAGTACCGAAGATTTAGCCAAGCGAATTTGGCAAATTTTGTATACTTTTGTATTATGGTCGGAAGAGTGTAATTACACACAACCGCCCGTAATACAAAGCATACCAAAATTGCCTACTTCACATGGCTATATTTTGCGTACTACTTCCGTATGCTCTTTTTAGCAGTATTAATTTCTCCCTTCTTGTTAAGTTGGTCTGGGTCCATTGCAATTCGACCGGCTATATAACTGCAAACGTTGATTTTATTACTGTGGCTGTCTTAGAATTACCGTACATTGAATTTAAAAATATATATAAAACTAAAATATTTATTTCATCTATTTTTTCATTTTATTCTATTATCTTTTTACAGGAAGGGACGAAAGATTAAACCTTCACTAAAAGCGGAAATGGATCAAAATGTGGGAGAATTAGGTAAAAATATTTCAGTAGAATTAGATGATAAACTTACGAAAGAAAAGAAAAGCCAAGAAGAAAGCAAATTATCCCTTACAGAAGTGGTGCATAACGAAGCTGTCTGCAACGATATGCCAAGTTCTGGCTTAAAAAAGAAATCAGATAAACATGAGAAAACAGAAGAAAAACCAGAAATGGATATACAATTAGACAACTTAAATGCCAAGGAAAAAAGCGATCAAGTCATAACGAGCAACGCGAAGAGCCTCGGACATACAGATAAGAAAGACAAAAAAGAGATACCAGAAATAGAATTACTATCAGAGGTCTTAGAGCAGATATCTGGAGGTGAAAAGGGCAAGGAAGATAAAGATGAAAATCGAATTGTGATGAGCAAGGATACACCTGCTAATGGTTTTGATCATACTAAGGAGTCTGGCGGTCACAGGAAAAGAAAAAAAGCAAAGAAGCAAGAGGATAAGAAAGATGAACAACAAGAAGATAAGAAGAATGAACAAAAAGAAGGAGAAATAGCCGTTAAAGGAAGTATACATGAAATACAGACTGGCGGGGAAGTTGTCTGTATCGATGTGCCAACATGTGGGCCAAAGGAAGGGCCAGTTAAGCATAAGAAAGCAAAAAAACTAGAGAAACAAAAACCTGAAGTTGATATGGCAATAGAAAACATAAAACAAGTGTCTGTGGGTGAACAAGGCGATGCAAGTGAAAATAACGATCAAGTTACAACGAATGAGGATACATCCACGAAGTCCGTTGATCTTACTAAGGAGGCCGGTCATCACAAGAAAGGGAAAAAGGCAAAGAAGAAGAAAGACGAGAAAAAGGACAAACAGGAAAGAGAATTATCGACTGACAAAATTGAAGATACGACAAATACCGCACATGAGACGGTGAGCAACGATATACCAACATGTAACTTAGAAGAGAAGTCATTTACGCATAAGAAAGAAGAAAAACAGAAATCAGAATTGGACGTACCTCTAGAACGCGTTGAGAGAATGTCTGGCGGTGAAAAAGGCGAGACAAATGTTGTTGATCAGGTTACAACGAACAAGGATGCGACCTTTGGTATTGATGTGGAGTCTGGTCATCAAAAGAAAAGAAAAAAGGCAAAGAAGAAGAAAGACGAGAAAGAGAACAAACAGGAAAGAGAATTTTTGACTGACAAAATTGAAGATACGACAAATACTGCACATGAGATGGTCAGCAACGATATACCAACAACATGTATCTTAGAAGAGAAGTCATTTACGCATAAGAAAGAAGAAAAACAGATATCAGAATTGGACGTACCTTTAAAACGCGTCGGGAGAATGTCTGGCGGTGAAAAAAGCGAGGCAAATGTTGTTGATCAGGTTACAACGAACAAGGATGCGACCTTTGATATTAATGTAGAGTCTGGTCATCAAAAGAAAAGAAAAAAGGCAAAGAAGAAGAAAGACGAGAAAGAGAACAAACAGGAAAGAGAATTATCGACTGACAAAATTGAAGATACGACAAATACTGCACATGAGATGGTCAGCAACGATATACCAACAACATGTATCTTAGAAGAGAAGTCATTTACGCATAAGAAAGAAGAAAAACAGATATCAGAATTGGACGTACCTTTAAAACGCGTCGGGAGAATGTCTGGCGGTGAAAAAAGCGAGGCAAATGTTGTTGATCAGGTTACAACGAACAAGGATGCGACCTTTGATATTAATGTAGAGTCTGGTCATCAAAAGAAAAGAAAAAAGGCAAAGGAGAAGAAAGACGAGAAAAAGGACCAACAGGAAGGAGAATTATCGACTGACAAAATTGAAGATACGACAAATACTGCACATAAGACGGTCAGCAACGATATACCAACAACAACAACATGTAACTTAGAAGAGAAGTCATTTACGCATAAGAAAAAAGAAAAACAGAAATCAGAATTGGACGTACCTTTAGAACGCGTTGAGAGAATGTCTGGCGGTGAAAAAGGCGAGGCAAATGTTGTTGATCAGGTTACAACGAACAAGGATGCGACCTTTGGTATTGATGTGGAGTCTGGTCATCAAAAGAAAAGAAAAAAGGCAAAGAAGAAAAAAGACGAGAAAAAGGACAAACAGGAAGGAGAATTATCGACTGACAAAATAAAAGATATGACAAATACTGCACATGAGACGGTCAGCAACGATATACCAACAACATGTAACTTAGAAGAGAAGTCATTTACGCATAAGAAAAGAGAAGAAAAACAGAAACTAGGAGGGGACACACGGTTAGAAGCCGTAGAGCGAATATCTGAGAGCGAAAAAGGCGAGGCAAATGATGTTGATCGTATCAAAGCGAATAAAGATGCATCTGGTGATCACAGGAAAAGAAAAAAATCAGGAAAACCAGAAAAGGAAAACGGCCAACAAGGAGAAATATTCGTTAAAGAAATTTTATATGAAACTGGGGCTGCAGGGAGCGTGATCTGCAACGATATGCCATCATGTGAATTAGACGAAGGGTCAGTTAAGAATAAGGAGAAGACAAAACAAAAGAAACAGAAATCTGAAGCCGATACGCCATCAGAAAACGTGGATCAAATGCCTGACGGTGAAAAAGATGGTGCCATTGAGAAAAGAAACGAAGTTAAATCGAACAAGGATACATCAGCAGAGATTTCTGATCTTAATGAGAGTCATCATAAGAAAAGGAAAAAGGCAAAGAAGCAGAAAAAAGAGAAGAGAGACCAGCGGGAAGGAGAATCCACCCTTGAGGAAATTGGAAATACAACATATACTGAAGAGGGAAATGTCAGCAACGATGTACCACCATGCACCTTAGAAAAGAAGTCACTTACCAAAAATACAAGTCAGATGCTTGAAGGAGACAAAAGTAGACCGTTAAAAGTCACAAAGCTGGTGTCTAGTGGTGAAAAAGGTGAGGCGAGTGCAGACATAACGTTAGAAGTCGCAAATCGAACGTCTGGCGGTGGATATGATGAAGGCGATGATCAAATTACAGCGACCAAGGATACATCTATGAAGAGCTTAAATCGTATGGAGGGGTCTGACAGTCACAGGAAAAGAAAGAAAGAAAAAAAGCAGGAAGAGAAGAAAAAACAGAAAGGAGAAATATCCGGTAAAGAAATTCTACATGCGATAGTGACTCCAAGTGAAATGGCCTGCAGCGATGTAACACCGTGTGATTTAGACGAAAAGACGGTTAAGCATAAGAAAAAGAAAAAACAAAAGAGTCGGAAATCTGAAGTGGATCTGCCATTAGACAACGTAGATCCAGTATCTGCAGGTAAAAAGGGTGATGCAAGTGAAAATAACGATCAAGTTAAAACGAATAAGGATACGTCTACAAAGACCTTCGATCTTCCCGATGAGGCTGGTCGTCATAGGAAAAGGAAAAAGGAGAAGAAGCAAACGGACGAGAAAAGGGAGAAGCTGGAAGGAAATTTGTCGACTGACGGTGAAAAGAAATCTCCCTCATCAGAAGAGGTAAAAGTGAAAAGTGAAGGTGATGAAATGTCCCCTAGCATTCTTGCCTCTATTCATGATTCGGCTAGTGGACAAAAAACAAAAAAGATGAAGAAACGAAAATGTGAAAGTGATATATTGCTTGAAGAAACTGAAAATCATGCTCAAAGCGAGGAGAGTCATGAGAAAAAGAAGAAAAGAAAAAAAACGAAACACAAAGATTCCCTTTCAGAAACCGTAAAGGGAAAAGTCGAAGGCAAAGAAGAAGACGATAGAGATGCACAGTGTGGTGTAACTGAGGAGTCGGGTAGTAAAGGAAAAACAGGAAGAGTTGAAAAACGGAAGCCTGAAACTGAATTATTGCCTGAAAAATTAATAGAAGAAGCTGAGGGCAAGTGTAGGCAAGCCAGTACTAATGTCGATGTTGATATTGTTAATAGAGATCTGATCGGTAAAACCAGCAATGCCGGGGCTCCGATCGCTTGCGATAAAACACCTCCGGGTGGTAGTGGTGTCACTGTTAGTGATAACAAGAAAAAGAAAAAGCACAAGAAAAACAAACGTGAAATTGATGCGAGTCGTGTTATCACTGAAGAAGGGGAGAAAAGCAAAAAACAGTCGCATGAAAACCCTCAGGACCAAATTCCCATTGAACAAAGCAAAGTTAACGTGGATTTAAAAGATGGAATGGCCACTGCTGTTTCTGCTAGTTGTGAGTTCTCTGAGCAAACTGATAGTCACGAAAAAGACAAAAAGACGAAGAAACGGAAGCATTCAGGCGAAGTTATTTCTAAAAATACTGAAGAAAAAACTGAAATGAGTGACAGTCAATGGGCAACTGCTGAGTTTTCCAATGTTGAACGAAAGGAAAAATTTCTTCGTCTAATGGGAGCTTTCAAGCCGTCGTCAAAAGAACAAAAAACAACCTATTCAACCAAGGCGATGAACGAGCAACAACAAAAAGCATTTGTTTCTTCTCTGGACGAACAGTTTTCAAGTGCTCTACAAAGGAGAAAAGATAAAGGTGTTGGTTTAGGCTACCATTGAAGAAAAGACTCGTTTATTTTGGTTTTGACAGACAAGTGGGACAAGTGTTGACTAGGGATGTGGATTTTGTTGTTCAGGTTTTATGCACTCTTAGGCCCTGTTTACACTATACCGGATTGCTTCCAGGGTGGGTCACATTTTGTAGCTGTTAAAAGGCAGTGAAAAATTTTACTTTTTCAGAGAAGTATTTACTTCTCACCATTGCCCTTTAAAGGCAAACGAAGATATCGTGACAAGCGAATCCTGTACAGTGTAAACGAGGCCTTAGAAATTTGTAATGTAAATTTTGGTCAGAGGAGAATGCGTATTGATAAAAGTTACATAGCGCCGTCGCTTTTGCGTTTGTTTACCCCTCGTTGACTTTGAATCAGGCTTCCAGAAAGTTTTAAAGGATTGACCGTTATATTCACTTTTCGGTGCGTCCTTACAACACGCCCTAATTTGCATTCTCGTTTGACCAGAGCTTAACACTACCGAGTTCCGTTTTTAAAATTACGCGATCAGCCCTAAAATAGTTGAGCTGAAGTATTTTTATGTGATTTGAAAGAAATCCCGTAAGGTATAGCAAAGCATCCTGCATATATCCCTTGAATGTTGGCTTAACTGTGCGCCAAAGCCATGCCATGCTATCCAAAAAAGTAATTTGCGTAAACATTGAAGTAGACTTACTATAGGCTAGCTACTTTTCTTCGCTTGACGCGTAATTTGAAAACGGAAGGTTGTTACGCGCAAATTTCTAAATGCTAAATTGACGTTAAATATATGTTATGTTAGGGTTTTGATATTCACGGTTGCATGTTAAAGTGGCTGTCAAGTCCGTTCTGCGCATGTTCGCACATTCCTTTCTGTGGGCCCACAGAAAGGAATTTTAATCGAATTATATCCCTATACGCATGCGCATTTAGTCAGGAGCAAGCTGACACAAAACACATGCGTTCAACATGGAGGACTCCGAAAGCTCTTCACGCGTTAGTGCCGAAAGCTCTGCGAATTTTAGCCTCCCAAGCAGCGAAGATGCAAAGACTAAACGCAAGGATTACATCGCTAAACGAGATTCGACGAAAGTAGCTCTTTACGAGCAATTTCAGCGTTGGCGATCTCTAAAAGAAGAGCTGGACTTGAAGACAGACAAACAACTGGCTGAAATGCTTTTAGATAATTACGAAAAAGGTGCCCGTATTTCGAGGTGAGAAATTTGAATTATTCATAATTTGGAAACGCATATACATAAATTACGTTCTTCTGAATCTGAACCAATTTATTTTAGTGACGCGGAGACACAGACAAACATTGAAAGCAGAGCTGCGGATTTGGTCAGCAATGCCTATGGCCATTAGCCCAAGTAAAGTTTTATATCGACATTCAATGTCACTTTAAACAAGGTCTTTAAATGAATGGTGATAGGTAACCCATGTTTTATTATATTTTCCCTTTTAGTTTCATCATCGACCCGCTTATTCATACAAGGAGGCATTCATCTTTACCTCCCGTCGCTACTAAACGGAGACGTCTGTTACTCGGGTCTACAGACGCACTAAGGTATTTTTTGACAAATGTGTTTTGATTCTTATACATGTATGTACCAGCGATAAATCATACATTCACGCTCAAATACCCAAGTACCTTTGAGTAACAATAATAAAAGAACATGTCGATGTATATTGTAATTACTACCCAATGGGGAATTAGATTATAACATTGTTATTTCTGCTAATTATTGTAGGACACAAACTGTAGATGAAGAAGAAACACTGTCAGCTATTGATTCTGATGATAGTGAATTGGAGGACAATAGTCAAATATCATTGGAACATCCAATGTATGTTTATAAACTATAATTTGATGATTTAACAACCAATCACAATTTATCACATAAAATGTAATGACTACCCAATATAGCATATATCACTTGACTATAGAGCTTTATATACTATTATATAGGGTTGGAATTGATGACATTGATAAGGTTTCCTTGGAAGAAGAGGTATTAGATACCACAATCAATGGTCACAGTGATGATGATGCTGATGATGATGATGATTGTGATGATGGTGATGATGATGATGATGGCACTGAAAAAGCCCCAAAAAATAGCAAACAAAGTTTTGTTCGTCATATACCATCCACTGATGTTCCAAAACTAGAGTTATGCTTGGCATCAACCACAATAATTTTGGAACTACTGAAGACACTGCATGGTCCTGTTTGTACAAGAGTTGGATGTAGTCGTCCATTGAATTTCAGGAATTCATTTGTTGGAACATGCCTAGTTGTTAATTGGGGTTGTTCTGCTGGCCACTTTGGTGGGAGGTATGTCTATTTCCAACTTGTCTATTATCACTGCAATATTTGAAAAAAGAAGAACAACACCTGGCCATGTTACACAGAAGTTAGGTCTTGCTCCAGATGACCCCCGGAACATTGCCAGGAATATTGCTGTGGTACCCCAGCCTCCAATGGAAGAGCTTCTGAGACAACACAAAACAAGGTTTTGATATGAGGGAATACCTTACTTGTGACACTATAACTTGATGTCACACATCCATGGACTATATATATGTAATTTTAGATGATTTGTGGGAATTTAAATATTGGTAGGGGAGGCATGCATAATATTGTGTGCAAGTATCTTATAAATTATAGTGAATGAATAAATTTGCATAGGTCATGCCATGCCACTAGTGAAGTGTGTCAATAATTTACTACACATGATTATGTACTCATTAACTTGCCAAAATATCAGTATTACAGTAGTTTTTACATAGTCTTCAAAGTCTAGCTGGCCTGAATCCTACATACAATCCATTTGGTGAAGGATACCTCGCTCTTATTTTCAGCACACAGCAACTTGGCACAACAACTCTGTTACCTCTGCCTAGACGTCCATATTGCCATAAAACGTACTGTCTATAAGCAGCATGACGAAAGTTTTCGTTATTTCTTGCATGGTCAGCTACAAGTACATCCTCTCTGTACCTCATAGCAATGTCTAGTACATTGCCATCCAAAACCAGTTGGAGGAAAAGTGGACTGGTTGTAATACAAGGCATTACTCTACGGCAGCAACATTTGTTTTCTTCTTGTGTTGGCATTGGGATGCAACAACCACAAAAGCACCAGTCTGGACTATCTGCTGGTGGGGGTTAGGCTGTGGTGGAGCTTGTGCTGGTGGGGGGTTAGGCTGTGGTGGAGCTTGCTCACCTCCTGGGTTTGCCAACTCTCCATCAACCAAGTCAGCAAACGCTGCTGGCTGTCTTCTCAGGAGTTCCAATGCCAATCTCCTTACTGCTGCCTCATCAAGTTGTGCAACCAAGTCCTGAAATTGTATTTTATTTCAAAATTAATTGCCCTATAATTTTACTCTGTAGTTAAAAGAACAATGTCAAAAACATTTACATGCCTGCAGTTGTTGGTCATGAGCCATAACGCGTTGTTGAGAGTCGCCTTCCTCGACTAATCTCCCTCGACCTCTTCCCCTACCACTTTCTCGACCTCTACCCCGACCTCTTCCGCGACCTCTTGCCCGACCTCTTCCTCGACCACGACCTCTTCCTCGACCTCTCCCACGACCTCGACCTCTGCCTCGATTTTCGGTGGCCTGTCCTTCATCCTCGCTTCCACTCGCCCCGCTAGTTCGCACACGTTTTGCTGATCTACCTCTAGACCTTGTTTGGACAGAGTCACTGGACACGTCTTGTAATTCACTTTCATTGTCCTGGGATATTCGAAAGGGAAATATATAAATATTTACAGTGTAACAAAATCCAGAAGCTCATGAAGAACTCATTAAAACTTTTCCTACCTCGTATTCTTCAGATGAATCTGAATCGCTTTCGATGTAATGACGGCGATTCCTACACGTAAACGATAGTCCATCGTGGCACGCTAAACTGCAATACTGTCTCGCCGTTTTGCATGGGCAAGCATTTCGTCCTATTTCGCGCAAACACATACCACCGCAGGAACACGTTGTATTATCATCTAAGTTAGCGACCTGGGCAATCCCTTCAATTTGTAATCGCTCTGCATCCCCAACGTCCAAACTTTCGTCCATATCGACAAGTAATATTGTCCAATTCAACGGTGTAGAAAAAAATCGCTGTCCAACAGTGTAGAAATCAGAAGATATGAAATCGACACCGTATAGTATGCAAATTTCATACAATACACCTTTTACGCAATGAAAAGCACGTGTAGTATCACGTGACATTTATATGTAAACAAAGCGTAATGTTCGGACAATGAAAACGCGCGCAATATTTAAATCGTATAGAAAGCCTGAATATATATTCGCATAATATTCATATATAAAGTAAAAAGTTGTTTCGTTAGTGCTTTGTCCGGATTATGGATGCTACTCGCGAGTCCGATGTCTTTAAAAAGATGACCGTAGTTCAAATTAAAAATTTTCTACTTGCAAGAGGAGTCAGTGTAAATGGCTATGATAAAATTACGCTGATCAAAATAGCTGCTGCGGTTGAAAGAATGTGTATTCCTCTACTTCCAACCTTAACAAACGATCGAAAGAATGGTGCTGCAAGCGATGAACGTTTGATTATTAATGATATGGAAATCGAAAACCCCTTTAAAATGTCTGTGATGAATAACTTCATCGACTCTCCATCTTTCGGTTTGTACGACATATTCAACTATTTGATTTTCCATTCGACTGCGTACGATAAGCAAGGTCTAGCTGCGTACAAATCCTTCGACGACTACAGTCTATTTGAAGATGGCCATGTAGAATCGTTAATGACTAAAACATTGAACAATGAAAGGCTTCATGTCTATGTAGCTAAGGTGCGACCAGCTATGAAGGTGAAAACTGATGATGGAAAACCTTGCTACGATCTTTGGTTTATCTTGGAAGGTCATGGTCCCAACCGAGGTAGCGTTTTGAAGGCGAAGTGTATGTGCAAAGGAGGCCGTGATGGGGGATGTAAACACATCGGGGCCGCCATGTATTCGCTGGAAGAGGTGCTGAACACGCGAAGTAAAGATAGCGTGACAAGTGGCAGTTGTGTGTGGGTCAAGAAAGCTAGCGCTAGTACGAAAGCATGCGAAGTATCTGACCTAGTGATTGAAAAACCAAAATTACCTTCGTACAAACTGAGGAAGAGGGACCACGCATATTCTCAAAACATTGACGTGGACGTAAGAGCTCATAAGGACCAAAAGCCCATAAAGAAAAGAAAGCTGAGAAGACTTACCGGATTGATGAAACTAATGAAACAACGTCCTGCCATTCTGCCAGTACTCCAGAAACGATACTGCGCACCAAAGAAATCTCCAACACTATTGACCATTGAAAATGGTGACAAGAGTACAAGTGGTACCAGTTCAAGTGATGGGATCATGAAACGTAAAATTTCTATTTGCATGGAAAGCAACAAGCATGCCACAGAAGATTTAGTGTTTCAAAAGTTATCATTCACAGACAAGGAGATTGATGATATCAACCAGGCTACGGTAAAACAGTTCCAGTGCAAAGAATGGTATTGTGAAAAAGCTGGTTTCATTTCAGCATCGAAAGTTAAGCGTGTTGTTACCAGACAGGCAACTATTGAAAAGAACAGACCAAAGAAGACAGATGTCAGCTGTCTGGTAAACATGATTACAAATCCCAAAGTACCACCAAACATTGTTCTGCCACAACAACCACACAACTCATTAACATGGGGGTTAGTTCATGAGACAAGTGCAAGGGATGCTTACTTACGAGTTGAAAGGCACAAACACCACAATATAAAGTTAGTGTCTAAAGGCTTTCTCATTTCAAAGAAGAGAAAATTTCTTGGTGCCAGTCTCGACAACATAAAGACATGCCAGTGTTCCAGTAATTGTCCAGATGTTGTTGTCGAATATAAATGTCCATGGAAGCACAAAGATATGCATCCCAAAAAAGCGTTTTTGACACCAGAAATTGGTGGTATTGAAAAAGATAAGACCTTCTGTCTTACCAAAAGCAGTGCATACTATCACCAGATCCAGGCACAAATGTTTGTTTCTGAGCTTTTTCATTGTGACTTTGTTGTTTGGACAAGTCAAGGAATTTTTGTTCTGCCAGATCATATGATGCTGCATTTATGGACCATGTTTGCAATCAGTTGGAAGCATTTTGGAAAGCAGAAGTTCTCCCTTGTATGATGGCAGACTCAAACTTGAATGGTAATTATGTTTATTTGTCAATATATATCACAGAGTTACAATTTCAGATTGTATTTCAAATTGTGAAATATATGTTTGTTCTGTTGCTTGTCTAGTTGCTAACACAGTAACTGGGGACAATCTAGATACAAACAAAGAAACTGCACCTAGAGTTACAAACAACAATGGGCATTCAGGTGAGTCAGTGCAGTGCACTGTGCTTAATTAAATTACAATTAGTTGTTCAGCTAGATAGTGGTTTACTAACTAAGTGATCACAAATACATTCTATGTTATCTATATTTATTTAGTTTCCCCTATGGTAACCCAATTACCTTGCAATGAACCTTGCAATATGCAAGTTATGGATTGTGATGGGAACAATTCCACTACAACAACATCATTCAAATTTCACGGTATTGAAGTGTATGAGCAAGATATTACAACCCTCGAGCCAGGAATGATGCTTAATGACACAGTTGTAACTGTCTTATTTGAGTAAGTGTATAAAAGCTTGTGATATTCACTTCATGTAAAATTCATACACAGAACTGGTTAAATTAATATCACAAAAAAAACACTTCTTATTGTAGAGAACTTGCTTGTCCATTCCCAGTCATCGATTCTCTTTTTTATTCTGTTCTTTGTGGGGAACAAGATGTAAGAAAAGCAACAAGCAGGTATTTCTCAATTACTGCATGCATGCACAAGTATTTATTATTAAATTGGTCATGACCATGCATATACATGTCTATCTGGTATCAGATTATGTTTTATGTAATGTAGGTCTGAACGAATCCTATCAGCCCAACCATTTTTCAAGGCAGATATTTTGAAAAATGACTACATAGTAATTCCAATCAACAGGAGGTATGAAACAACCTGATGATTACTTAATTTAAATGTAATCCACAATAGAAAATTGTTCTATCCTAAATGAACTATATATTCATTTACTTGCAGGCTACACTGGTTACTAGCCATCATAACCCCATGGTATTATGTGCAGTATTATATTTTTTGTCTGTAATTAAGTGTTAATTACTTATAATTAATAATGTTGTATTGCATTACATTTTACAGGCATGTGCTTTTTTTGGACTCTTTATCCTGGGAAATTTCTAGCAAAAGAGCTGAAATGAAGTATTTAATCAGGTGGGTTTGTTGAGGCCAATATAGTTGTGCACATGCAATTAATATTGTATTCATGTGTCTTCTTTTTATATAGTTATTTAGATCATATGTCTAATATATCAGGGAATCCCAATAGATGCACAAGTTTGAAATGCCATGTTCTAAAGGTTTGTGATATATATGTGCTATATATCTTGTATTTCCAAAGTGTATTAGGTTTAACCTCTGTTCAGTGTTCTTTTAGATGCAACCATTTTTTGTCTATTATATATAGGTTCCAAGGCAGGATCCTCATACTAACAACTGTGGGATTTACATAGCAATGTTTCTCAGTAGCTTTGAAAAGGTAAATGGTATTCAATATGTCAATTGAATAGTTTTCTATTACTCTACAAAAAGTGCTTTCTCTAATTACAGGACATTGAAAAATATGAGGAAAATCCTGATGAGTATGTCAAATTGACTCATTGTTGGTTCACAGAAGATGAAGCTGAAGAAAATAGAACCAGGATTAGAAACCAACTTACAGGACTGAGTTTATTGGCAAAACATAGAAAATAATTTACAGCTCAAGTCTACAGTATTCTTCCTCCTTGTTTATACAACTGGGCTGCAAATTTACTAATGCAGCACAAACAGCAATTATTGAGTTTACATGAGGCTTCATTGTTAAAGGGAAAGCACCTTTCAGAATAGTAAAACATTTTAGTTTTCTGATCATTCTTTCAATATGTACTCTTATTGTGGCCACACGTCGAGTTTGAGTTGATGTTACAGCAGACACATTTCCTTTCCTTAAAAGAGGTGGGGCCAAAAGCTTTGCTTCTTTGAGTGCTAGCAGGTCTTGAATATTAAAACCTTTGTCGGCCATCACCACATCACCTGCTTCAAGATGATCCAAAAAACCACTTTCTTTTACGATTTCTTTATCACTAATACTGCCAGTGAAGAGTCTTGAAACAAAATTAAGATGAGGTAAAGGAGACATTGAGATCAACAACTTGAAGGTATTGGTGGACTTGTACTGGCTGTAGGTGGTTCTTTGGCAGTGTGGTCTCGAAGGTTTCTCTACATAGAATTCAGTGCAATCAATGATAGCTCTGAGGTTCTTTATACCTCGAAGTGCCGTTGGAAATTCAATCCCTTGCAAATCATTTAACGTTGAGAAGGGCACAAAACATTTTAGTTCCTTACTCATGAAGAGAATCCAGGTTACAAAAATCCGGCTACCAGTCCCATTAGAAATGCCAAATATACCACTTAACATTTCAATACTGACATTCCTTCTCAACCTTATTAATGTGAACAGAAACTGTTCCCTGGTTGTGAGTTTGCACATATCATACTTCTTCTTGATATACATACTATGGCTGGTCGTCAACTTCGTTCTCTTTTTACCCCTCCAATAGTGAATTCGTTTTGCTTTTTGTTTTAAGATTTCATTAAAAATCGTATCAAGGCATTCCTTGCTCATGCCTGCAAAGACAATAAATAGTTGTAATAAATCACGTCACACAGCTTGTTTTAAAACAAAACTAACTACTCACCTGTATAGTGCATCGTTTTTTTGGATCGTCCACTTTAGCTAGGAAAAGATGCTTATGCATCTCAGCACTGTCTACCAACATTTTGTCTTGATATGGGTTCAAATGACAAAGCTCAACGTTGGTCTAAACATAAATGTGAACACTATCACCGAAATTCACGCGCAAAACATTCAGTACTGCTTTTATCAGCTCACCTGCGTACTACAAACAACTGATTGTTCAATCTTGTCGTCTACAAACGTTTCTACGTTAGAAGTTTCGTCGATGCTAGGATGATCTTCGTTGTTGGATTTGTCGCTGCACAGATTGCTGCAAGGGCCAACAGTCGCAGCACTATTTGCACTAAACGACAACAATATCTCAGCGACATTAAGTTCGGTGTCGGTCTTGCAACAATTCGTCGGTGCTTGGGCTAGCATTAGCAGCGAATTTGCAGCAGATTTTACATCACTTCGACGAGGTTTCTTCACGGGCTTCTGTCTGGCAACAGGGATTTTTCGTTTACGGTTCATCATGCGCTGCTGCGTATGTAAACAAACAGTCGATAATAAACACGAAATGTGGGCTAAAATCTCATCATACTTAAGATAATATTGTTGTTACTAACCTTTTCTTTACTTGTTGTTGCAGATATAGGATCAGGGTTTTCTTTTGTGGGCCCATTTTCACCCACAAAGTGAACACTGCAAACGTAACTATCCTTGTTACAATTGAATGAGTCGCCACGTTTACATGCTTCAATCCACCGTTTTCTCCTTTCTGGACATCTCTTCGCTCCAGGAAAGTGGAAAAATGTCACAGGATCACCTTCTACATTTTTTTGCATACGTTCAGGGTAACGAGAGTCGTTTTTGCACGTACCCCAAGCACATCTTTTTGTGGCAACCATAGTTCGATATTTAAATATTGCGCGCGCTATCATTGTCCGAACATCACGCTTTGTTTACATATAAATGTCACGTGATACTACACGTGCTTTTCATTGCGTAAAAGGTGTATTGATAACAGAGACGCGCTTAATTTTCAACATTCTCAAATTTCGTGAAAACCGGAAGTAATAGGCGGAAAACGTCATGTAAAATATATATAATAGTTCACGATGTAAACAAAACACGCGCGTGCGCAAAACGGACTTGACTGCCACTTTAACCATTACGGGTTACTTTGGGTTGGTGATTTTTGATGACGTTGCATGATAAATAAACATTTGATGATAAACATTTATCAAGAACTTCAATTCTTGGGATTATAGCGTGAACAAGGACTGTCGTACTTGCTGTGACATTGAAATGATTAAACACTATATTCATAGAAAATACAAAAATATTATACTGTTAATCAAAGAGCAGTTTTATGTACTTCAGACTATAGACCGAGATCGAGGCAAACAATGTAATCATTGACATTGTTAGTCGGATAGTTTTCATTGCCAGAGAGCATAAATCAATAACCAAAGAAGCGTTTATTCAAGTTTCGTAAGTTTTTCAGGTCAGGTTACCTGGTAAGTACTGAAAAAGCATCGAGCTTAGATTTGGGACCTTAATTTTGATTTTATATGAAATGTTATATGTTCAACATTCAGCTTTTTTTTTGTATGACTGTAATATAATATTCAAAAAGGCGCGTGATTTTTTGAAGGCGGACGTGAAGACGGACGTGATTTTTTGAAGATGAACGGAGGGTGGATGCGGAAATTGAGACTAACTAGAAGCAAGCAGGTATAAGCTCTCTAAACAAACGTCTCCAGAATTGCATGACCTTACCAGTGGAGCTAGGATGTTTTTTATTTTTATCATTTCAATTGTTAAGTCACATACACATTTCAAATACTAGTATATTTCGCGCCATTACACACTTGCGACGACGAAAAATAAAAAAAAAACAAAATAAAAAAGACAAAACAAAACCGAGGAGAATTTTCAACTCCGTCGCTGACGCCGGAGTAATATGCAGGGAGCTACCTTAATTTTTTCTCGAACATGTAATTTTCGAGTGGATGTCACATCTTCCAACACCCCTGGTCGCCACGCCTCAGGGTAAACGAGTTTTACGGTGTATATACGGTATTCCGTATTTATTTACGGTTCCGGTGTCCCTGCCAACCACTGCTGCCCGTTACGATACGAGTCCCTCATTTGAGTACAGTTTTTAAAAAATGCGCAGATCTGATGCGCACACGTCCCCCGCGAAGGCAGACGAAATATTTGAATCTTGGATTTGATTTCAAAATGTTGGAAATTGTTCACACTTCGCAACGTTGATAAGAATTTAATACCAAAAAGATTTTTATTTGATGCATTATATGAATTTTTTTGAAAGATGTCTTTGGACATAAATGCATGTCTTAAAGCATTCTCAGTCGCGTGTTGCCAATACCGTAGCCATCCCAATGAACAAACGCTCAAATATGTTGAACGGCAGATGGACGTAAGTTATATTCGTTATATTCGATAATTTTGAAAGTTGTTTTGAAATGCACTTAAAAGCTACGCTAAAACCGTAGATTAGGTGCACAGGAAATAGTAAATACCTCAGAGGCCTTGTAGTTGTATTGAGAAAACAATCAAAACATCTCATCAAGTTTATGTGTGTGAACTGCTCAGACTCTGAAATATGATTTATTATTAAATTTGCACAGACGAATAATTTAACAAACTGTGCAGATAAGGCAGATATGACCTCAAGTTGGATAAGCAAACATGTACAAATGTAGATATGTTCCAATATATTAACTAGTCTTTAAACATAAACAAAAACTTATCTTGATGTTTTGACCTAAATGAGAGTTATAGTCATGCTAACTCATCTGATGAAGGCTTTAGGTTAAAACATCGATATTTTGTCTATTTTAGGCAGCTTTTCAACAATATACCACATTAAATGCAATGTACATATGTAGTTTGAAGAGTAATAATTATATCCATACCAGCTAGGGTGCATTCTGTGTACCTTGCTGGAAATCTTTAGTGTGGAGTTACAAAATTGTAATGTATTTTGTGGTAAGGCCTGCAATGTTGGCCAATGCTAAAAAGAACAAGCACAATCCCATTTATTTGGCCTAATTTGGCAATAACGTCCAGGAGAGAGAGAAAGAGTGTGTGTGTGTTACATACATAAGATAGTATGACATAACCACATTGACCGGGCTGCCTATAAATTTTGTAAGTATATAAACTAATTTTAAACACAAAGAAAAGCAAATTTGACATTTCCATGCTACGTCTTGCATCACTTTCAATTAAGTAATAAATAAATCTACATGACTGCACTGGTTCAATGGTCTAAAAGACTGTCAATTATACATAATGCATGTTAATTGCAATTTAAATTTCTACTTGCATGCACTATTACCAGCGTATTCTAGATTATACAAACAGAGTTATACTGTATATATGCAAAATAATTCACAGACCAGACACTAAAATATTACAACAACATGCAAGGGAATATTAAAAACGTATGAATTAAATAGTTTAGAATGAATTGAGTCCAATTGCGTATCAATGTTGATGTAGATTTACTTATTACTTGAAGTGATGCAAGACATAGCATTGAAACGTCATAAAATAAAATTGCTTTTATTTGCTATATTGCTTTTATTTGTGTCTAAAATATTCTCTATAAATTATTAATATTTAAACATGAAGTAAATTTTTAATAAGATACAGAAAACAGTAAATCAACTAGTGTCAACATTAATGTCAACCAATTAAACCTTAAGCATTTTTTAATTATAGTTGGTGACAGGATTCACCAATTAAAATCATGTTTTTATTAGTTCTTGATTAGTTGATTTGTAAAATTTAAATTTTTTTGCACTAATTCACTGTTTAATGTACTAATTTGTTGATCTTTCCCTAGGTTCTTATTGGCATCACATCAAATGACAAATCATTGAGTGGTTTTACAGCAAGAGAATTGCTGCCAACAGAATGTCTTACATCACTTGTTAGTATGCTAAGTGAAATAAATAACAAACCAAGACTGACGAGCAAGTGCTTGTTGCTCCTGTATAGCCTAGGTATGTGTGCTTTATTCATTATCATTGCATGTGTAAAAGTTCAGCAACCTAATTGCAAGTTTACTTTATCAGCCAAGTTGTAATTAACATACATATTGATATCTATAAGGTTATCCAACCTGCCATATGGGTTTAAATTTAATGCCTATAAATACCCATTTGGAGACTGACCTCGGGGTATATTTGGTTGGATGGTGCACTTTTATATTAAAATTGAAATTAGAGTATGTTTAAACTGATTGGGAGATGTTGTTGTAAGAGAAGTGTTTCTATTGAACATTTAAAGATACATATTAAGATGGTTAATTCAATGTAGAGATGTCATCATTCGTAAAGTATATATTGTTTTAGAAAAATATCCCTATTAAGGCAGGTATTGATATATTAGAAAGGAATTATGTAAAAGTTATGTTATGTGTGTAGGATATAGATTCCATGGTTTGTTTATTGTAATAGTTCCCTTTATTTTTGTTTACAAGAGAGATGTCCCGCATCTCCCTTGATAGTACCAGCGATGGTACAGTATTAAGGACATACCCTCTACTGGAGTCAAAACCAATATGTTACAATAAAAGTTGTTTTCACTATATGTTGATAAGGTTTGTTATCTTTCAGCTTTCGACAATGAAACTAGGATTATGCTGCGCGACTCTTATCATCTCACATCCACATTAACAGGACTGCTACTTGAGCACAGTTCTCATTCATCATCAAATGAAGGCATTATATTCCAGGTGTGGTAATATCTCTTTGTTCATATAATTTGAATTTTTACAATCAAAATGATATTGCGGGCGGACTATTTAAAAAGTTCGGTTTTCTTGTTTTTCCGGCAAAATATTCGGACATGCTTGGCAAGCCCTCCAACGTGAGAGCCATGGTACGGTTATATGCATGCCTACAGTACACGTTGTACCATATAATAGCCTGCATGGTAGCTAGACGAAAGGGTCCTGTGGATTTTAAAGTTA